CAGGACTTGTGGGACGTGGTGGGACGTGGTGGGAGGTCAGGATGGGTGGGACATCAGGACTGGTGGGACATGGTGGGAAATGGGGACATGGAGACAGGTGGGACGTGGTGGGACATGGTGGGACATGGGGACTGGTGGGACATGGTGGGACAGGTGGCACATGGTGGGACATCAGGACTGGTGGGATGTGGTGGGACAGGTGGGACATGGGGACATGGGGACAGGTGGGACATGGTGGGACAAGTGGGACATCAGGACTGGTGGGATGTGGTGGGACGTGGTGGGACGTGAGGATGGGTGGGACATCAGGACTAGTGGGACCTCAGGACAGGTGGGGCAGTTGGGGCAGGTGGGACATAGTGGGACATGGTGGGACGTGGTGGGACAGGTGGGATGTGGTGGGACATGGGGACATGGTGGGACATCAGGACTGGTGGGACATGGGGACATGGTGGGACATGGTGGGGCATGGTGGGACAGGTGGGACGTGGTGGGATGTGGTGGGACATGGTGGGATGGCAGGACGGGTGGGATGTGGTGGGATGTGGTGGGACGTGGTGGGATGTGGTAGGACTTGGTGGGACATCAGGACATGGGGACATGGGGACATGGGGACATGGGGACATGGGGACATGGTGGGACATGGTGGGACAGGTGGGACTTGGTGGAACATGGTGGTGATGACCCATTGGCCGTGACCATCTTGTGTTGGCCATGGTCATCTCCCATTGACCCATAGTCAATGAAGATGGTCATGGTCATCTCCCATTGGCCATGGTCATCTCCCACTGGCCATGGTCAATCAAGATGGTCAAGGTCAAGACAAGATGGCCACAGTCATCTCCCCTTGGCCATGGCCACCTCCCCCCTGAGTTGGGCCATCTCTACCCAATCCTCCAGAGACGCCCCCAAGCCCCCGGAGATGCCCCAAATCCACTGGAGGTACCCCAAAACCCTCTGGAGATGCCTTCAAACCATCTCCAGATACCCCTAACCCTCTTCAGATGCCCTCAAAACCCCTGGAGATGCCCCCAAACCTCTTGAGATGCCCCCAAACCCTCTTGAGATGCCCTCAAACCCCCTGGAGATGCCTTCAAACCCTTTCAAGATACCCTCAACCCTCTCAAGATGCCCCCAAACCCTCTCCAGATACCCCTAACCCTCTTGAGATGCCCTCAACCCTCTTGAGACACCCTCAAACCCCCTGAAGATACCTTCAAACCCTTTCAAGATACCCTCAACCCTCTTGAGATGCCCTCAAACCCCCTGGAGACACCCCCAAACCCCCTGGAGATGCCCTCAAACCCTCTCAAGGTACCCTCAACCCTCCCAAGATGCCCCCAAACCCTCTCCAGATGCCCCCAACTTTCTCGAGATGCCCTCAAACCCCCTGGAGACGCCCCCAAACCCCCTGAAGATGCTCCCAAACCCCCTGGAGATGCCCTCAAACCCTCTGGAGACACCCCCAAACCCCCTGGAGATGCCCTCAAACCCCCTGGAGATGCCCTCAAACCCTCTTGAGATGCCCCCAAACCCTTTCAAGATACCCTCAACCCTCTTGAGATGCCCCCAAACCCCCCGGAGATGCCCTCAAACCCCCTGGAGATGCCCTCAAACCCCCTGGAGATGCCCTCAAACCCTCTCAAGGTACCCCCGAACCCCCCGGAGACACCGCCCAGCCCCACCTCCGCGGGGTCCAGGTTGGCGGGGACCTCGTTGGCCGCCTTGGCCTCCTCCAGGGCCTGGTGGAAGGAGACGTCGGGCGAGTCGATGGTGATGGTCAGCACGGCGTCGTAGGCCAGGCGCAGCTTGGTGCTGTTGGCCAGCACCGGGTAGGACACGCGGCGGTAGGGCAGCGCGAAGGTCAGCGCGTCGTAGGGCACGAAGACGAAGGTCCCGTCCGTCATGCCCAGGTCCTCGGCCTTCTCCAGGAGAACCTTCTGCTCCCGGCCGCCCAGGAGAACCGAGTGCATGCACATCAGCACCACTGCAGGGACACGGGGATGAGGGTGGTGTGGTGGCACCGGCAGTGTGGGCTTCTTCTGTCCATCTGTGTTTGTCTCCATCCATCCGTCCATCCATCTCCATCTTTGTCCCCATCTCCATCCCTATCTCCATCTCCACCTCCATCCCACCTCCATCCCCATGTCCATGTCCATGTCCACCTCCATCTCTCCATCTCCATGTCCATGTCCATGTCCATGTCCATGTCCATGTCCACCTCCATTTCTCCATCTCCATCTCCATCCCACCTCCATTTCTCCACCTCAGCCTCCATCCCACCTCCATGTCACGTCCAGGTCCACCTCCACCTCTACCTCCACCTCCATCCCATCTCCATCTTCACTCTGACCGCCATCCCGCCTCCATTTCTCCAACTCTTTCTCCACCTCCATTTCTCCATCTCCACCTCCATCCCACCTCCATCTCTCCATCCCACCCCCACCTCCATCCCCATGTCCAAGTCCATGTCCACCTCTATTTCTCCACCCCCATCAGCACTTCCACTTCCATCTCTCCATGTCCACCTCCACCTCACCTCCATCCCCACCTACATCTCTCCATCTCTTCCTCCACCTCCATCTCTCCACTCTACCTCCATCCCACCTCCATCCCCATCTCCACCTCCACTTCCATCTCTCCACCTCCGCCTCCATCCCACCTCCATCCCACCTCCATCCCACCTCCATCTCCATCTCCACCTCTATCCCATCTCCATCTTCACCCCGACCTCCATTCCACCTCCATTTCTGCATCCCACCTCCATCTCCTTCTCCATCTCCACCTCCATTCCACCTCTACCCCACCCCACCCTACCCCACCTCCATCCCACCTCCACCTCCATTTCTCCATCTCCACCTCTATTTCTCCATCTCCATCTCCACCTCCACCTTCATCCCATCTCCATCTTCACCCCGACCTCCATCCCACCTCCATTTCTCCGACTCTTTCTCCACCTCCATTTCTCCACCTCCACCTCCATCCCACCTGACCTCCATCCAACCTCCATATCTCCATCCCTTCCTCCACCTCCATTTCTCCACCTCCACCTCCACCTCCACCTCCACCTCCACCTCTGCCTCCACCTCCACCTCCATTTCTCCACCCCACCCCATCCCACCTCACCTCCGCCTCCACCTCCATCCCACCTCCATCCCACCTCCACCTCCATCTCTATGTCCCACCTCCACCTCCATCTCTCCATTTGGCACATCCCGTGATGGTGCCACCTCAATTCCTCCAGCTCAATTTCTCCACCTCCACCTCCATTCCACCTCCATTTCTCCATCTCCACCTCCATTTCTCCACCTCCATCCCACCTCCATGTCACCTCCACCTCTGCCTCCATCCCACTGCCATCCCACCTCCATCTCCATGTCCCACCTTCACCTCCATCCCACCTCCACCTCTTCATCCCTTTCTCCACCTCCATTTCTCCATCCCACCTCCATCCCACCTCCACCTTCATCTTTATGTTCCACCTCCACCTCCACCCCTACCTCCACCCCCATCCCACCTCCACCTCCACCTCTGTTTCTCCATCTCCACCTCCATTTCTCCATCCCACCTCCGCTTCCACCTCCATCCCACCTCCGCTTCCACCTCCATCCCACCTCCATCTTCTTCTCTACCTCCACCTTCATTTCTCCACCTCCATCCCACCTCCATCTCCATGTCCCACCTTCACCTCCATCCCGCCTCCACCTCCACCTCCACCTCCACCCCACCTCCATCCCACCTACATCTCTCCATCCCTTCCTCCACCTCCATTTCTCCATCTCCACCTCCATTTCTCCATCTCCACCTCCATTTCTCCACCTCCACCTCCATCCCACCTCCATGTCACCTCTGCCTCCACCCCACCCCATCCCACCTCCGTCCCACCTCCACCTCCATCTCTATGTCCCACCTCCACCTCCATTCCACCTCCACCTCCATCCCACCTCCATCCCACCTCCATCTCCTTCTCCACCTCCATCCAACCTCCATCTCTCCATCTCTTCCTCCACCTCCATTTCTCCACCTCCATTTCTCCATCTCCACCTCCGTCCCACTTCCATCCTCACCTCCACCTCCATCCCACCTCCACCTCCATCCCACCTCCATCTCCACCTCCATTTCTCCAACTCTTTCTCCATCTCCACGTCCCACCTTCATCTCTCCATCCCTTCCTCCACCTCCATTTCTCCATCTCCACCCCACCCCACCCACCCCACCGCCCCCTCACCTCTGACCCCATCCGCCCTCTGGACTCTCCTCAGCGCCTCCTCCGCCTCCTCCTCGTCCTCTCCAGCCGTGGCCACCACCCTGACCGGGAGCCCCTTCTCCCTCAGCGCTGCCGCCACCTCCAGCGCCGTGTCCACCCACATCTCCTGCGGCGCGGCCACCACGGCCACGTGCGCCCAGCGGAAGTGCCGCAGCACCGCGTGGAGGACGCGGGCGGGCGCGGGCAGAGGTCTCAGCTGGGTTGTGGTGGCCCCGGTGGCCCCACAGGAGAAGGCCACCAAGGGTTTGTTCCACGCGGTGGCCATCAGCGCGGCGGCGCCGCACGCGGACGGGCTCAGAGGTCCCACCACGAAAGCTCCGGCGCGACGTTCCACCGCCGCCATGGTGGCCACCGCCGCCGGCGCCGCGCAGGGCTCGGGCAGGAGAACCGTGTCCCACCAGTAGCCGGCGGCCAGCGCCGGGTCCCGGTTCAGCCGTGTCACCGCCAGGCGCGAGGCCACCGCCGGCAGGGCCCGGCCCAGCAGGGGGTCGCAGCTCCAGGGGCCCAGGACGCCCACGCGGAACGTGGAGGACACGGACAGGTGGGGCAGGAGGAGGAGGAACAGGAGGAACCGCAGAGGAACCGCGAGGGGAAACAGGGAGGGGGAAAAGCCACGGGAGATGTCACCACCGTGGGAGGTGGAACAATGAGAAATGCCACCACCATGGGAGGTGACACCATTGGAGGTGGCACCATCATGGGTGGTGGCACCATCACAGGACATGCCAAAGCCATGGGAGATGCCACCACCATGGGAGGTGGTACCATCATCATGGGAGGTGGCGCCATCATGGAAGGTGGAGCCACCATGGGAGGTGGAAAAGCCCTGGGAGATACCACCACCATGGGAGGTGTCATCATCATGGGAGGTGGAAAAGCCATGGGTGGCACCATCACCATGGGAGGTGGCATCATGGGTGGTGGCACCAGTGTGGGAGGTGGAAAAGCCATGGGAGATGCCACCTTGGGTGGTGGCACCATGGGAGATGCCAAAGCCATGGGAGGTGTCATCATCATCATGGGAGGTGGTAAAGCCTTGGGTGGTGGCACCATTGGAGGTGGAAAAGCCATGGGAGATGGCACCATGGGAGGTGGCACCATTATCATGGGTGGTGCCAAAGCCATGGGAGATGCCACCACCATGGGAGGCGTCATCATCATCATGGGAGGTGGAAAAGCCTTGGGAGATGTCACCATGGGTGGTGGCATCATCATGGGATGTGGTGCCACCATGGGAGGTGGCACCATCATCATGGGTGGTGGAAAAGCCATGGGAGATGCCACCGCCACAGGAGGTGGCACCGTGGGAGGTGGTGCCATCATGGGAGGTGGTAAAGCCATGGGAGGTGGCACCAGCACGGTGGGTGAGAAAGCCTTGGGAGATGCCACCACCATGGGAGGTGGAAAAGCCACGGGAGATGTCACCATGGGAGATGCCACCGTTGAGGGTGTCACTGTTGGAGATGCCACCATGGGAGATGCCACCACGGGAAATGCCACCAGCATGGCAGGTGCCATCACGGCATGTCATGACGCCAGAGGTGCCACCACTGTGGGAAACGTCCCTGTGGATGATGTCACCATGGGAGGTGCCACCATGGGAGATGTCACTGAGGGAGATGTCCTTGTGGGAGATGCCACCACTGTTGGAGATGTCACTGTTGGAGATGCCATTGCTGTTGGAGATGTCCCCATGGGAGGTGCCACCATGGGAGGTGCCACCATGAGAGTTTCTGCCACCATGGGAGGTGCCACCACAGCTGGAGACGTCACCGTTGCAGGTGCCACCGTAGGAACCAAAGCCATGGGAGATGCCACCATGGGAAATGTCCCTGTTGGAGGTGCCACCACTGTTGGAGATGTCCCTGTTGGAGATGTCCCTGTGGGAGATGCCACATTGGGAACTGAAGCCATGGGAGATGCCACCACCATGGGAGATGTCACTGTGGGAGGTGCCACCACGGCTGGCGATGTCACTCTTGCAGGTGCCACCATGGGAACTGAAGCCATGGGAGATGCTACCACCGTGGGCGATGTCCCCATGGGAGATGCCACCATGGGTGATGTCCCCATAGGAACCGAAGCCATAGGAGATGCCACCACCGTGGGAGATGTCACTGTGGGAGATGCCACCACTGCTGGAGATGTCCCTGTAGGAGATGTCACTGTGGGAGGTGCCACCACTGCTGGAGATGTCCCTGTAGGAGATGTCACTGTGGGAGGTGCCACCACTGCTGGAGATGTCCCTGTAGGAGATGTCACTGTGGGAGGTGCCACCACTGCTGGAGATGTCACTGCTGCAGGTGCCACCATGGGAACCGAAGCCATGGGAGATGCCACCACCATGGGAGATGTCACTGTTGTAGGTGCCACCGTGGGAACCGAAGCCATGGGAGATGCCACCATGGGAGATGTCCCTGTTGGAGGTGCCACTGTGGAAACCGAAGCCATGGGAGATGCCGCCACTGTTGGAGATGTCACTGCTGCAGGTGCCACCATGGGAACCGAAGCCATTTGAGATGCCACCACTGTTGGAGATGTCCCCATGGGAGATGCCACCATGGGAAATGTCCCTGTGGGAGGTGCCACCATGGGAGATGTCACCGTGGGAGATGCCACCATGGGAACTGAAGCCATGTGAGATCCCACCACTGCTGGAAATGTCCCCATGGGAACCGAAGCCATTTGAGATGCCACCACCATGGGAGATGTCACTCTTGCTGGTGCCACCATGGGAACCAAAGCCATGGCAGATGCCACCATGGACGATGTCCCCATGGCCGGTCCCGCCGTCCCCTCCCCCGCTCGGCCGCATGTCCACTCCAGTCCAGGCCGGGGTGTCCCTCAGGCCGGGGCGGGGCCAGAACCGCCCGGAGATGTCACCATGGCCACCGCGGGGTCACCTGGGGGTCAGAGGTCAGAGGTCAGGGGTCATTCGGGGTCAGAGGTCACTGCTGGGGGGGGAGGGGCACTCAGCGCTGATCCGCCCCTCCCCCCCCGCTCCCATAATGCCCCGCGGCCGCTGAGCCGGGTGACGTCATCGCCCGCCTGAGGTCACCGGGGTCACGCCTGTCAGCGCTAATTAATGGGGGGTTAATTAATTGGGGGTTCATTAATTGGGGGAAGTTCGTTAATTAGGGTGGTTGCTTAATTGGGGGGGTTCATTAATTGGGGGTTCATTAATTGGGGGGAGTTCGTTAATTAGGGTGGTTGCTTAATTGGGTGTGTTCATTAATTGGGGGGTTCATTAATTGGGGGGAGTTCGTTAATTAGGGCGGTTGCTTAATTGGGTGTGTTCATTAATTGGGGGTTCATTAATTGGGGGGAGTTCGTTAATTAGGGCGGTTGCTTAATTGGGTGTGTTCATTAATTGGGGGGTTCATTAATTGGGGGGAGTTTGTTAATTAGGGCGGTTGCTTAATTGGGTGTGTTCATTAATTGGGGGTTCATTAATTGGGGGGAGTTCGTTAATTAGGGCGGTTGCTTAATTGGGTGTGTTCATTAATTGGGGGGTTCATTAATTGGGGGGAGTTTGTTAATTAGGGCGGTTGCTTAATTGGGTGTGTTCATTAATTGGGGGTTCATTAATTGGGGGGAGTTCGTTAATTAGGGCGGTTGCTTAATTGGGTGTGTTCATTAATTGGGGGTTCATTAATTGGGGGGAGTTCGTTAATTAGGGCGGTTGCTTAATTGGGTGTGTTCATTAATTGGGGGTTCATTAATTGGGGGGGGTTCGTTAATTAGGGTGGTTGCTTAATTGGGTGTGTTCATTAATTGGAGGGGTTCATTAATTGGGGTGTTCATTAATTGGGGGGTTCATTAATAGGCATGGTCCCTTAATGAGGAGGGATCCATTAATTGGGGGGGGTTCATTAATTGGGGGGGGTTCATTAATGGGGGGGGTTCATTGATGGGGGTGGTCCCTAATTGGGGGGCGGGCAGGGGGGGTTATTAATTGGGGGGGGGGTTCATTAATTAAGGGGGATCCTTTAATTTGGATTAATTGGGGGTGGGGGAGGGGTTTGGGGGGGTTCATTAATTAGGGGTGGGGGAGGGGTTTGGGGGGTTCATTAATTGGGGTGGGGGAGGGGTTTTGGGGGGGTTCATTAATTGGGGTGGGGGAGGGGTTTTGGGGGGGTTCATTAATTGGGGTGGGGGAGGGGTTTTGGGGGGGGTCTCACCTGTCCGCAGGTCCCGGGGGGGTCCTGGAAGGATCCGGGGGGGATTTTGGGGGTCCCGGGGGATTTTGGGGGGTCCCGGGGGTCGCAGGGAATTTTGGGGGGGGTCACGGGGGGATTTGGGGGTTTGGGGGGGGTCCCGGGAGTATTTTGGGGGGGTCCCGGGGGGGTTTGGGATTTTGGGGGGGGGTCCCGGGGGGGTTTGGGATATTGGGGGGGGGGGTCCGGGTGGATTTGGGGGGTCCCGGGGGTATTTTGGGGGGGTCCCGGGGCTATTTTGGGGGGGGTCCCGGGGGTCTCAGGGATATTTGGGGGGGGTCCCGGGTTAGGGTTTCGGATTTAGGGAGGGGGTCCCGGAGGTATTTTGGGGGGGGTCCCGGAGGTATTTTGGGGGTCCCGGGGGGGTTTGGTATTTGGGGGGGTCCCGGGTGGGTTTGGGATATTGGGGGGGGTCTCAGGGGTATTTTGGGGGGTCCCGGGGGTATTTGGGGGGGTCCCGGGTGGGTTTGGGATTTAGGGGGGGGTCTCGGGGGTATTTTGGGGGGTCCCGGGGGTATTTTGGGGGTTTGGGGGGGGTCTCAGGGGTATTTGGGGGGGTCCCGGGGGATTTTGGGGGTCCCGGGGGTATTTGGGGGGGTCCCGGAGGGATTTTGGGGGTCTCAGGGATATTTGGGGGTTTGGGGGGGGTCTCAGGGATATTTGGGATTTAGGGGGGGGGTCCCGGGGGTATTTGGGGGGGGTCCCGGGGGTCGCGGTTCTCTCCCGCCGCCGCCGCCGCCCCGAGTGAGCGGGACCGGGGGGGGGGAGGGGCAGAGGGGGGGGGGGGGCGGGGGGGGTTAATCCGCCCCTCCCCCACCCCGGGGGGGCAAAGCCGATTAACGGGGGGGGGGGAGGGGAGATGGGGACACGGGGGGGGAGGGGCGGGGGGGGCTGGGGGGGTCCTGGGGGGGTTCGGGGTGGGGGAGGGGCATTGGGGGTATTTTGGGGGGTCCTGGGGGGGTTTGGGGGGGTTTTGGGGGGGGTTCGGTGTGGGGGGGGCATTTAGGGGGATTTTGGGGGGTCCTGGGGGGGTTTTGGGGGGTCTTGGGGGGGTCCTGGGGGGGTCGTGGGGGTTTTGGGGGGACTCTGGGGGGGTTTTGGGGGGTGGGAAAATGGGGGGGACATTTTGGGGGGTCCTGGGGGGGTCTTGGGGGGTTCGGGATGGGGGAGGGGCATTTGGGGGTATTTTTGGGGGGTCTTGGGGGGGTTTTGGGGGGGTTTTGGGGGGGTTCGGGGTGGGGGAGGGGCAGTGGGGATATTTTGGGGGGGTCCTGGGGTGTCCTGAGGGGGGTTTGGGGGGTCCTGGGGGGGTTTTGGGGGGTTCGGGATGGGGGAGGGGCACTGGGGATATTTTGGGGGGGGTCCTGGGGGGGTTTTGGGGGGTGGAAAAATGGGGGGGGGACATTTGGGATATTTTGGGGGGTCCTGAGGGGGTCCTGGGGAGATTTTGGGGGGGGGGTTTGGGGGGATCTGGGTGGGGGAGGGGCATTTGGGGATATTTTGGGGGGTCCTGGGGGGGTCCTGGAGCGTCTTGGGGGGGTTTTGGGGGGTAGGAAAATGGGGGGGGGGACATTTTGGGGGGTCCTGGGGGGGTTTTTTTGGGCGGTGGGAAAATGGGGGGGGGACATTTGGGATATTTTGGGGGGGGTCTTGGGGGGATTTTGGGGGGGTTTGGGGGGGGGTCGGGGCATATGGAATATTTTGGGGGGTCCTGGGGGGGGTTTGGGGGGTTTCTGGGTGGGGGAGGGGCACTGGGGATATTTTGGGGGGGTCCTGGGGGGTTTTTTTGGGGGGTGGGAAAATGGGGGGGGGACATTGGGGATATTTTGGGGGGGGTCTTGGGGGGGTCCTGAGGGGGTTTTTGGGGGGGTTTCGGGATGGGGGAGGGGCATTGAGGACATTTTGGGGGGGTTTTGGGGGGTCCTGAGGGGGGGTTTGGGGGGGGTTAAGGGTGGGGGAGGGGCATTGGGATATTTTGGGGGGGTCCTGGGGGGGTCCTGGGGGGGTTTTGGGGGGTTAAGGGTGGGGGAGGGGCATTTGGGATATTTTGGGGGGGTTCTTGGGGGGGTCCTGAGGGGGTTTTTGGGGGGGTCCTGGGGGGGTCGTGGGGGTTTTGGGGGGGACTCTGGGGGGGTTTGGGGTGGGGGAGGGGCATTGGGGATATTTTGGGGGTCCTGGGGGGGTCCTGAGGGGGTTTGGGGGGTCCTGGGGGGGTTTGGGGGGGTTCGGGATGGGGGAGGGGCATTTGGGGATATTTTGGGGGGTCCTGGGGGGGGTTTTTGGGGGTATTTCGGGGTGGGGGAGGGGCATTGGGGACATTTTGGGGGGGGTCTTGGGGGTCCTGGGGGGGTTTTGGGGGGGCTCTGGGGGGGCTTTTGGGGGGGTTCGGGATGGGGGAGGGGCATTTGGGATATTTTGGGGGGTCCTGGGGGGGTCCTGGGGTGTCATGAGGGGGTTTTTGGGGGGTCCTGGGGGGGTTTTTGGGGGGTCCTGGGGGGGTTTTGGGGGGGTTCGGGGTGGGGGAGGGGCACTGGGGATATTTTGGGGGGGTCCTAGGGGGGTTTTTGGGGGGGTGGGAAAATGGGGGGGGGGCATTGGGGATATTTTTGGGGGGTCCTGGGGGGGTTTTGGGGGGCGGGAAAATGGGGGGGGACATTGGGGACATTTTGGGGGGTCCTGGGGGGGTTTTGGGGGGATGGAAAAATGGGGGAGGGGCATTGGGGATATTTTGGGGGGGTCCTGGGGGGGTCCTGGGGGGTCTTGGGGTGTCCTGAGGGGGTTTTCGGGGGGGTTTGGGGGGTTCGGGTGGGGGGGGCATTGGGGGGGATATTTTGGGGGGTCCTGGGGGGTTTTTGGGGGGGTCCCGGGGGGGCTCTGGGTGGGTTCGGGATGGGGGAGGGGCATTGGGAATATTTTGGGGGGGGTCTTGGGGGGTCCTGAGGGGGTCCTGGGGGGTGGGAAAATGGGGGAGGGGCATTGGGGATATTTTGGGGGGTCCTGGGGGGGTTTTGGGGGGTGGGAAAATGGGGGGGGGATATTTGAGGCATTTTGGGGGTCCCTGGGGGGTTTGGGGGGGTTAAGGGTGGGGGAGGGGACATTGGGGACATTTTGGGGGTTTTGGGGTATGGGAAAATGGGGGGGGGGGACATTGGGGGCATTTTGGGGGGGTCCTGGGGGGTTTTGGGGGGTGGGAAAATGGGGGGGGGCACTGGGGACATTTTGGGGGGGGTCTTGGGGGGTCCTGGAGGGGTTTTGGGGGGGTTCGGGATGGGGGAGGGGCATTGGGGACATTTTGGGGGGTCCTGGGGGGGTTTTGGGGGGTCTTGGGGGGAATTGGGGGGGTTAAGGGTGGGGGAGGGGCACTGGGGATATTTTGGGGGGGTCTTGGGGGGGTCCTGGAGGGTCTTGGGGGGGTCCTGGGGGGGTTTTGGGGGGGTTTTGAGGGGGTTCGCGGTGGGGGAGGGGCATTGGGGATATTTTGGGGGGTCCTGGGGGGTTTTTGGGGGGTCTTGGGGGGTTTTGGGGAGGTCTGGGTGGGGGGACATTTGGGGATATTTTGGGGGGTCTTGGGGTGTCCTGGGGGGGTTTTTGGGGGTTCCTGGGGGGGTCTTGGGGGGTTCGGGGTGGGGGGGGGACATTTGGGGATATTTTGGGGGGTCCTGGGGGGCTCTGGGGGGGTCCCGGGGGGGGGGAGTTGGGAAAATGGGGGGAGGGGACACAATGGGGGACGATTTTTGGGGGGATTTTGGGGGAGTTTTAGGGGAATTTTGGGGATTTTAGGGAATTTGGGGGCAAATTTTTGGGATTTTGGGGGATTTGGGGGATTTTGGGGGATTTTGGGGGATTTTAGGGAGTTTTGTGGGGATTTTTTGTGGATTTTCATGAATTTTTCGGGTTTTGGGGGATTTTGGGGTAAATTTTGGGGATTTTTTTTTTGAGGGATTTTTCTGGGGATTTTTTGGGATTTTTTCAGATTTTGGGGGGATTTTCTTTGGGATTTTGTAGATTTTCGTGGATTTTTGGGGTTTGGGGGGATTTTCTGGGGATTTTTGGGGATTTTTGGGAATTTTGTGGGGATTTTCTGTGGATTTTCATGAATTTTTCGGGTTTTGGCGGATTTTGGGGGAGATTTTGGGGATTTTTTTATTTTGAGGGATTTTGGGGATTATTGGGGATTTTTGTGGTTTTTGGGGGGATTTTCTTCGGGGTTTTGTAGATTTTCGTGGATTTTTGGGGTTTGGGGGGATTTTCTGGGGATTTTTTGGGATTTTAGGGAATTTTGTGGGATTTTTTTGTGGATTTTTGTGAATTTTTCGGGTTTTGGCCGATTTGGGGGAAGATTTTGGCGATTTTTTTCTTGGGGGGGATTTTTCTGGGGATTTTTTGGGGATTTTTGCGAATTTTGGGGGATTTTCTATGGGGTTTTGTAGATTTTCGTGGATTTTTGGGGTCTGGGGGGATTTTCTGGGGATTTTAGGGGATTTTTGGGGATTTTAGGGAATTTTTGTGGGGATTTTTTGTGGATTTTCGTGAATTTTTCGGGTTTTGGCGGCGGATTTTGGGGGAGATTTTGGGGAATTTTTTTTTTGAGGGATTTTGGGGATTTTCTGGGGATTTTTGGGGATTTTGGGGCGCTTGGGGACCCCAAAACCGCCCCAAAATGCCCCAAAACCGCGTCCGAGGCCACGCCCACCGCGCCCGAGCTGTCAATCAAACCACTGACGATGTGGCCACGCCCACTTTTCCTTATATGGAGTGGCCACGCCCACTGCCCGGCGCCGCCATGTTGGGTTCGGGCGGAAAGAGGAAGTGACGTCACGGAAAGCGGCAGGCCGGGCGGAAGTGAAGGCGGCGGGAAAGCGGTGAGAGAGAACTGGGGGGAACTGGGACAGACTGGGATAAACTGGGAGGGACTGGGAGGGACTGGGACAAACTGGGAGGGACTGGGACAAACTGGGACAAACTGGGAGGGACTGGGGGGAACTGGGAGGGACTGGGAGCGCTGGGACTGGTTTGTACTGGGAGCACTGGTTGGATACTGGGATTTACTGGGAGCACTGGTTTATACTGGGAGCATTGGGAGGATACTGGGACTGGTTATACTGGGATTTACTGGGATGAGTTATACTGGGAGCACTGATTTATACTGGTTATACTGGGAGCACTGGTCTATACTGGGAGCACTGGGACTGGTCTATACTGGGAGCACTGGGACTGGTCCATACTGGGAGCACTGGGACTGGTCTATACTGGGAGCACTGGGACTGATTTATACTGGTTATACTGGGAGCTCTGGTCTATACTGGGAGCACTGGGAGGAGACTGGGATGAGTTATACTGGGAGCACTGGGACTGGTCTATACTGGGAGCACTGGTTTATACTGGGAGCTCTGGTTTATACCGGGAGCACTGGTCTATACTGGGAGCTCTGGGTTATACTGGGAGCACTGGGACTGGTTTATACTGGTTATACTGGGAGCACTGGGAGCACTGGTTTATACTGGTTTATACTGGGAGCACTGGGACAGGTCCATACTGGGAGCACTGGGAGTGCTGGTACTGGTTATACTGGGAGCACTGGTTGGATACTGGTCTATACTGGGAGCTCTGGTTTATACTGGGACTAGTTTATACTGGGAGCACTGGTTTATACTGGGACTGGTTTATACTGGGAGCACTGGTTTATACTGGGAGCACTGGGTTATACTGGGAGCACTGGGTTATACTGGGACTGGTTATACTGGGATTTACTGGGATGAGTTATACTGGGAGCACTGGGATTGGTTAGACCGGGAGCACTGGGAGCACTGGTTTATACTGGGAGCACTGGGACTGGTCTATACTGGGAGCGCTGGGACTGGTCTATACTGGGAGAACGGGTTTATACTGGGAGCACCGGTTTATACTGGGAGCACTGGTTATACTGGGACCACTGGGACTGGTTTATACTGGTTTATACTGGGAGCACTGGGACTGGTTATACTGGGAACACTGGGATTGGATACACTGGTTATACTAGGAGCATTGGGACTGGTTATACTGGGAGCACTGGTTTATACTGGTTTATACTGGGAGCACTGGTCTATACTGGGAGCACTGGGACTGGTCCATACTGGTTATACTGGGAGCACTGGTCCATACTGGGAGCACTGGGAGGATACTGGGACTGGTTATACTGGGAGCACTGGGATTGATTATACTGGGAGCACTGGTTTATACTGGGAGCACTGGGTTATACTGGGAGCACTGGTTTATACTGGGAGCACTGGGACTGGTTATACTGGGAGCACTGGTTGGGTACTGGGATTTACTGGGAGCTCTGGTCTATACTGGGAGCACTGGGAGGATAGTGGGACTGGTTATACTGGGAGCACTGGGATTGGTTATACTGGGAGCACTGGGTTATACTGGGAGCACTGGGACTGGTCTATACTGGTTATACTGGGAGCATTGGGACAGATTTATACTGGTTATACTGGGACCACTGGGACTGGTTTATACTGGTTATACTGGGAGCACTGGTCTATACTGGGAGCACTGGGATGAGTTATACTGGCAGCACTGGTTTATACTGGGAGCACTGGTCCATACTGGTTTATACTGGGAGCAGTGATCTGTACTGGTTTATACTGGTCCTTACTGGTTTATACTGGTCCGTACTGGGAATTCCCATTTCCCTACTGGTCTGTACTGGTCCATACTGGTTTATACTGGGAGCATTGGGATTGGTTATACTGGGAGCACTGGTCCATACTGGTTTGTACTGGGAGCAATGATCCGTACTGGTTTATACTGGGAGCACTGGGAATTCCCATTTCCATACTGGTCCATACTGGTCCATACTGGTCCGTACTGGTTTATACTGGTCCATACTGGTTTATACTGGGAACACTGATCCGTACTGGTTTATACTGGTCCATACTGGTCCATACTGGTTTATACTGGTCTGTACTGGTCCCTGCAGTGAATTTGGGGGAATTTTGGGGGAATTTTGGGCATTTTTAGCTTAAAAAATCCAATTTTAACCCAATTTTAATTCAATTTTTTCCCTTTTTTTTCACAGGAATTTCTCCCCATTCCGGGATTTTTGGGAATTTCCATTCCCGGATTTTTTGGGGAATTTTTTGGGAATTTTCTTTTGAATTTTCTGGGAATTTTTGGGGAGAAGTTTGGGCGTCTTTTTCTCAAAAAAAATCTGATTTTAATTCAATTTTTTCCCTTTTTTCACAGGAATTTCTCCCAGTTCCGGGATTTTTGGGAATTTCAATTCCTGGATTTTTTGGGGGAATTTTTTGGGAATTTTTTTGAATTTTCTGGGAATTTTCGGGGGGAATTTTTGGCGTCTTTTTCTCCAAAAAAAATCAGATTTTAATTCAATTTTTTCCCTTTTTTCGCAGGAATTTCTCCCCGTTCCGGGATTTTTTCGGCGCCGCTCGTTGGGAATTCAGATCCCGGAATTTTTTGGGAATTTTTTGGGGATATTTTGGGAATTTTTGGGAATTCCCATGACCATCCACAACCTCTACATCTTCGAGCGGGGCGGGCGCTGCCTCTTCTACAGCGAATGGCACCGGCGGCGCGGCCCCGGCATCCCCCAGGAGGAGGTGAGAATTCCGGGAATTTCCGGAATTTCGGGAATTTTGGGAATTTTGGGAATTTATTTGGAATTTTTTGGGAAATTTTGATGGGTTTGGGGAGGTTTTTTGGGGGTTTTTTTGGGAAATATTTTGAATTTTTAGGGATTTATTTTGAATTCTTGCGGCTGTTTTGGGAATTTTTCAGATTTGTCTGGAATTTTTTGGGAATTTTTGGAATTTTTTGGGAATTTTTGGAATTTTTTGGGGAATTTTTTAGGATTTTTTTGGGGGAGTTTGGGGAAATTTTTGGGAATTTTTTGGGATTTTTTGCAATTTTTTTCAGATTTTTCTGGATTTTTTTTTTTTGAGAGTTTGGGATTTTTTGGGAATTTTGGGACTTTTTGGGGAATTTTGAGAAATTTTTGGGAATGTTTGGGGTTTTTTTGGGAATTTTTCCAGAATTTTGGAAGTTTCGGGAATTTTGGGATTTTTTTGGAATTTTTCGGGAATTTTTGATGGGTTTTGGGGGGTTTTTTTGGGGGGTTTTTTGGCCTTTTTTGGGAAATATTTTGAATTTTTTGGGATTTATTTTGAATTTTTGTGGCTGTTTTGGGAATTTTTCAGATTTGTCTGGAATTTTTTGGGAATTTTGGGAAATTTTTGGGATTTTTTTTGATTTTTTGCCAAAAATCTCCCAAAATCCCCCAAAAAATCCCAAAAGAATCCCCCAAAAAATCCCAAAAAATTCCAAAAAAATTCCCCAAAAAGCCCCCAAAATTCCCAGATTTTCCCAAAAATCAAAAAAATTCTCAATTTTTCCAAAAAAATCCAGAATTCCCTAAAGAAATTTTTCAAAGTCTGAGAAAAATTAAAAAATCCCCCAAAATACCCCAGAAACTCCCAAAAATCCCCAAAAATAAAAAAAAAAATTCCCCAAAACCCCTCAAAATTTCCCAAAATTCCCAAATTTTCCTCGAAATCCCAAAAATTCCCTATTTTTCCCAAAAAATCCCAGAATTCCCAAAGCAATCCCCAAAAAAGTCCTTTAAAATCTGAGAAAAATAAAATCCCCAAAAATCCCCCAGAAACTCCCAAAAATCCCAAAAAATTCCAAAATAATTCCCCCGAAATTCCCCAAAATTTCCCAAAATTCCCAAATTTTCCCAAAAAATCCCAGAATTCCCAAAAAAACCCCCCAAAAAATCCTTTAAAATCAGAGAAAAATTTAAAAAATTCCCCCAGAAACTCCCAAAAAATTCCCAAAAACTTCCCCCGAAAGCCCCCAAAATTTCCCCAAATTCCCAAATTTTCCCAAAAATTCCCAGAATTCCTAAAAAATTCCTTAAAAATCTGAGAAAAATCCCCAAAAATCCCCCAGAAACTCCCAAAAATCCCAAGAAATCTCCCAAAAAATCCCAAAAAAATTCCCCCAAACCCCTCAAAATTTCCCAAAATTCCCAAATTTTCCCAAAATTCCCAATTTTCCCCTTGCAGGAGTTCAAGCTGATGTTCGGGATGCTTTTCTCGCTTCGCTCCTTCGTGGCCAAGATGAGTCCCACGGACATGGATCCAAAATTCCCAAAATTCCCCAAATTTCCCCAAAATTCCGAGGGAATCCCCCAAAAAAAACATGGGGGGTGGTGCCAGGGGAGGATTTGGGGGAATTTGGGGGGATTTTTGGGAATTTTCGAGGATTTTTGGGGATTTTGAGGAATTTTGGGTGGAATTTGGGGGATTTTTGGGAATTTGGGGGAGTTTTGGGGATTTTTGGGGGGATTTTGGGAATCTTGAAAATTTTCGAATTTTGAGGATTTGGGGATTTTGGAGATTTGCAGAATTTGGGGATTTGGGGAATTTCGGGGATTTTGGGGGGATTTTGGGGGTTTGGGGATTTTTGGGGAAATTTTGGGGAATTTGGGAATTTTTGGTGATTTGGGGAATTAGGGGAAATTTTGGGGAATTTTTGGGATTTTGGGGGGAATTTTTGGGATTTGGGGAATTTTTGAGGAATTTGGGGATTTTGCGAGAATTTCAGGGCATTTGGAGAGTTTGGGAATTTTTGGAGATTTGGGGGCTTTGGATATTTTGGGGAGTTTGGGGAATTTGGGGATTTTTGGGGGAATTTTGGGATTTCGGGGGAATTTTGGGAATTTTTGGGAATTTGGGGAAATTTTGGGGAATTTTTGGGATTTTAAAAATTTTGGGAATTTTGGGGACTTTGGGGGAAATTTGGGGATTTGGGGAATTTTGGGGATTTGTGGAATTGTGGGGATTTGGGGTGAATTTTGGGGAATTTTGGGGATTTGGGGGATTTTGGAAAATTTGGGGAATTTGGGGAATTTTTGGGGATTTGGGGGAATTTTTTTGGAATTTTCAGGAATTTGGGGGAATTTGGGGATTTTGAGGGAGTTTGGGGGGATTTGGTGACAATTCCAGGCAAATTTTTTGCATTTTTGGCAATTTTGGGCCGATTATCGCGCGGATTTCGGCCTCTGGGCCGGCCGGGGCTGGCGGTGGGGGTTGGAAATTTTGGGAATTTCGGGAATTTCGGGAATTTCGGGAATTTCCTTAGCGTGGCGCAGGCGGGACGGGTTCGTGGCGTTCCACACCAGCAAATACCGGCTGCACTACCTGGAGACGCCGTCGGGGCTGCGGCTGGTGCTCAACACCGACCTGGGCGTGCCCAGCGCCCGCGAGGCGCTGCAGCACATCTACGGAAACGTGAGCACAATTCCCGAAATTCCTGAAATTCCCGAAATTCCAGTCCCAAAATCCTGAAATTCTAGTCCGAAAATACCGAAATCCCAAAATCCCGGTACTAAAATCCTGAAATTCCAGTCCTAAAATATTGAAATCCTGAAATCCCGTCCCCAAAATCCTGAAATTCCCGATGTTCTGGTGCCAAATACCAAAATTCCAGTCCCAAATCTACGGAAACGTGAGCAAAATTCCCAAATTCCCGAATTTCCTGAAATTCCCGATGGTCTGGTGCCAAATCCTGAAATTCCCGTCCCAAAATCCTGAAATTCCGGCCCTAAAATACTGAAATTCTCGATGTTCTGGTGCCAAATCCTGAAATTCCCGTCCCAAAATACCGAAATTCCCAATGTTCTGGTGCCAAATCCTGAAATTCCCATCCTAAAATACCGAAATTCCAGTCCCAAATCTACGGCAACGTGAGCACCATTCCCGAAATTCCTGAAATTCCAGTCCCAAATCTACGGCAACGTGAGCAAAATTCCCAAAATTCCTGAAATTCCTGATGGTCTGGCGCCAAATCCCGAAATTCCGGTCCTAAAATATCGAAATCCCAAAATCCCGGTACTAAAATCCTGAAATTCCGGCCCTGAAATCCCCAAATTCCGATGTTCTGGTGCCAAATCCTGAAATTCCCGTCCCAAAATACCGAAATCCCAAAATCCCGGGCCTGAAATAGCAAAATTCCGGCCCCGAAATAGCAAAATTCCGGCCCCAAAATCCCAAAATCCCAGTGCTAAAATAGCAAAATTCCAGCCCCAAATCCCGAAATCCTGAAATTCCGGTCCCAAGATCCCGAAATCCCAAATTCCCAATGTTCTGGTGCAAAATCCTGAAATTCCGGTCCCGAAATCCTGAAATTCTGGTCCCAAAATACCGAAATCCCGAAATTCCCGATGGTCTGGTGCCGAATCCCAAAATCCTGGACCCAAAATCCTGAAATTCCAGTCCCAAATCTACGGCAACGTGAGCACCATTCCCGAAATTCCTGAAATTCCCAAAATTCCAGTCCCAAATCTACGGCAACGTGAGCAAAATTCCCGAAATTCCTGAAATTCCTGAAATTCCCGATGGTCTGGTGCCAAATCCTGAAATTCCGGTCCTGAAATAGCAAAATTCCGGCCCCAAATCCCCAAATTCCCAAAATCCCAGCTCCAAAATCCTGAAATTCCGGTCCCAAAATCCCAAAATCCCAGGACTAAAATCCTGAAATTCCGGCCCTAAAATACCGAAATCTTGAAATTCACGAAGTTCTGGTGCCAAATCCTGAAATTCTGGTCCCAAAATCCCAAAATCCTGGTCCTGAAATACCGAAATTCCAGTCCTAAAATCCCGAAATCCCAAAATCCCGGGACTGAAATAGAAAAATTCCAGTCCCAAATCTACGGAAACGTGAGCAAAGTTCCCGAAATTCCCGAAATTCCCGATGGTCTGGGGCCAAATCCTGAAATTCCGGCCCTGAAATACTGAAATTCCTGTCCTAAAATACCGAAATTCTGGTCCTAAAATACCGAAATCCTGAAATTCCCAATGTTCTGGCACCAAATCCTGAAATTCCGGTCCTAAAATACCGAAATCCCAAAATCCCGGAACTGAAATAGCAAAATTTCGGCCCCAAAATCCGGAAATCGCAAAATCCCGGTACTAAAATAGCAGAAAAGGGATTTTTCCCCCCCAAATAAAGGTATTTTTATGGGATTTTACCCTAAGAAAATGGAATTCTCATGGTTCTTTCCCAAAAAAAAAGGCAATTTTTTTCCTTAAAAAAAGGGATTTTTCCCAAAATAATGGCATTTTCATGGAGTTTTTTCCCAAAAAAGGGATTTTTTTGTCCTCAAAAAAACCCGTGTTTTTTTCCCCCAAAATAATGGGATTTTCATGGAGTTTTTTTCCCCCCAAAAATGGGATTTTTTCCCTCAAAAAAAGGGATTTTTCCCAAAATAATGGCATTTTCATGGAGTTTTTTCCCAAAAAAATGGCATTTTTTTTTCCTCAAAAAAAGGGATTTTTCCCAAAATAATGGGATTTTCAAGGAGTTTTTTCCCCCAAAAAATGGGATTTTTTTGCCCTCAAAAAAAGGGATTTTTTTCCGAAAATAATGGGATTTTCATGGAGTTTTTTCCCCAAAAAATGGGATTTTTTGCCCTCAAAGAAGTTGTTTTTTTTTTCCCCAAAATAATGGTATTTTCATGGATTTTTTTTCCCCAGAAAATGTGATTTTTTTTCCCTCAAGAAAAGGTATTTTTCCCAAAATAATGGGATTTTCATGGCGTTTTTCCCCCAAAAAATGGGATTTTTTTCCCTCAAAAAAAGGGATTTTTTTTTCTCAAAATAATGGGATTTTCATGGAGTGTTTTCCCCGAAAAATGGGATTTTTTTTCCCTCAAAAAATATTTTTTTTCCCCAAAATAATGGGATTTTCATGGAGTTTTTTCCCCAAAAAATGAGATATTTTTTCCCTCAAAAAAAGGGATTTTTTCCCCCAAAATAATGGGATTTTCATAGAGTTTTTCCCCCCAAAAATGAGATATTTTTCCCCTCAAAAAAAGGAATTTTTCCCAAAATAATGGGATTTTCATGGCGTTTTTTCCCCCCAAAAAATGAGATTTTTTTTCCCAAAATAAATTTTTCCCCAAATCCGAGGATTTTGCCCCAAAAATAATTATTTTTTCTGTTTTTCCCAGCTGTTCGTGGAGCTGGTGGTGAAGAACCCGCTGTGCCCGCCCCGGGCCCCGGTGCAGAGTCTCCTGTTCCGGCAGCGCCTCGACGCCTTCGTCCGCAGCCTGCCCTACTTCGGGCCCCGGAACCCCCAGAACTGACCCCAAAACCCACCCCAAAAACCCCAAATCCTGACTGAGCACCCCAAAAAACCCAAAATCCCAAAAACCGACCCCAAAATTGGGATTGGTGCCCCTCAAAATCCAAAATCCCAATAAATTACCCCAAAATTGGGATCGGCGCCCCCAACAATCCAAAATCCCAAAAACCGACCCCAAAATCGGGATCGGCGCCCCCAAAATCCCCAAATGCCCAAAAACCGACCCCAAAACTGGGATTGGCGCCCTCAAAAACCCCAAAATGCCCAAAATGGGGATCAGCGCCCCCAAAAACCCCAAAATCCCAAAAACCGACCCCAAAAACCCCAAATCCTGACTGAGCACCCCAAAAAACCCCAAACCCCAAAAACTGATCCCAAAATTAGGATTGGTGCCCCCAAAAACCCAAAATCCCCAAAACTGACCCCAAAATTTTCCCAAAATCTGGACTGAGACCCCAAAAATTCCCCCAAAATCCAAAGTGAGACCCCAAAAATTCCCCAAATTCCCAAAATTCCAGAGTGAGACCACAAAAAATCCCAAAACAACCCCAAAAAATCTTGACTGAGACCCCAAAAAATCCCAAAAATTCCCAAAAATCTTGACTGAGACCCCAAAAATTCCCCAAAATCCCCCAAATCTGGACTGAAACCCCGAAAATTTCCCCAAAATCCAAAGTGAGACCCCAAAAATTCCCAAAATCTGAACTGACACCCCAAAAATCCCCAAAATCCCCCAAAAATCCAAAGTGAGACCCCAAAAAAATCCCCAAAATCCCCCAAAATCTGAACTGAGACCCCAAAATATCCAAAAATCCCCCAAAATTCTGACTGAGACCCGAAAAATCTGGACCGAGACCCCAAAAACCCCAAAAATTCCCAAAATTCCAGACTGAGACCCTAAAAATTCCCAAAAATCCAAAGTGAGACCCCAAAAATTCCCAAAATTCCCCCAAATTCTTGACTGGGACCCCAAAAAATCCCCAAACTTCCCAAAATCTGAACTGAGACCCCAAAAATTCCCAAAAATCCAAAGTGAGACCCCAAAAATCCCCCAAATTTTGAATTGAGACCCCAAAATATCCAAAAATCCCCCAAAACTCTCGACTGAGACCCCAAAAATCCCCCAAAAACCCAAAGTGAGACCCTAAAAATTCCCAAAAATTCCCCCAAAATCCCCTCGGGCGCCTCCAAATTTGGGGAGGGGTCCCCAAAAATTCCCCTTTAGGACCCCAAAATCCCCCCCCACTTCCTTTTGGGGGATTGGTTCCCCTCCTAATTTAAATAAATTTGCATAAAGCCTTTCTTTGGTTGGGGTCTTTGGTGGGGCCCCTCCCCCATCAATTTCTCCCAATTTCTCCCAATTTTTCCCATTTTTTCCCAATTTTCCCCCAAAATTTCCCCAAATTTCCTCCCCAATTCCCGATCCCCTTTAGCCCCTCCCCCTTTAAGCCCCTCCCCCTTTAAGCCCCTCCCCCTTTAAGCCCCTCCCCTCCCCATCCATTCCTCCCAATTTTTCCCATTTTTTCCCAATTTTTCCCATTTTTTCCCAATTTCTCCCCAAAATTTCCCCAAATCCCCCTCCCCCTTTAGCCCCTCCCCCCTTTAGCCCCTCCCCCTTTAGCCCCTCCCCCTTTAGCCCCTCCCCCCTGCAGTTCTCAATCTCCTGCCCCTCCCCCATCCATTTCTCCCAATTTCTCCCAATTTTTCCCATTTTTTCCGAATTTCTCCCCCAAATTTCCCCTTTAGCCCCTCCCCCATTAAGCCCCTCCCCTCTAAGCCCCTCCCCCTTTAGCCCCTCCCCCATTTAAGCCCCTCCCCCCTGCAGCTCTCCATCTCCTGCCCCTCCCCCATCCGTCTCTCCCAATTTTCCCCATTTTTTCCCATTTTTTCCCCAATTTTTCCCATTTTTTCCCATTTTTTCCCAATTTCTCCCCAAAATTTCCCCTCCCCTCCCCCTCTAAGCCCCTCCCCCTCTAAGCCCCTCCCCCTCTAAGCCCCTCCCCATTAGCCCCTCCCCATTAAGCCCCTCCCCCTTTAGCCCCTCCCCCTGCCGGTCTCCATCTCCTGCCCCTCCCCCATCTATTTCTCCCAATTTTTCCCAATTTTTCCCATTTTTTCCCATTTTTTCCCAATTTCTCCCCAAAATTCCCCCTCCCCTCCCCCTCTAAGCCCCTCCCCCTTTAAGCCCCTCCCCCTTTAAGCCCCTCCCCCTTAGCCCCTCCCCCTTTAAGCCCCGCCCCTCCCCCTCCATTTCTCCCAATTTCTCCCAATTTTTCCCATTTTTCCCCAATTTTTCCCATTTTTTCCCAATTTCTCCCCAAAATTTCCCCTTTAGCCCCTCCCCCTTAAGCCCCTCCCCCTCCAGCCCCTCCCCCCTACAGGCCTCCATCTCCCGCCCCTCCCCCATCCATTCCTCCCATTTTTTCCCATTTTTTCCCATTTTTTCCCAATTTTTCCCATTTTTTCCCATTTTTCCCCAATTTCTCCCCAAAATTTCCCCTCCCCTCCCCCTTTAGCCCCTCCCCCTTTAGCCCCTCCCCCATTAAGCTCCTCCCCCTTTAGCCCCTCCCATTTTAGCCCCTCCCCCTCCAGCCCCTCCCCCCTGCAGTTCTCCATCTCCTGCCCCTCCCCCATCCATTTCTCCCATTTTTTCCCAATTTTTCCCATTTTTTCCCATTTTTCCCATTTTTTCCCAATTTCTCCCCAAAATTTCCCCTCCCCTCCCCCTTTAAGCCCCTCCCCTTTAAGCCCCTCCCCCCTACAGGCCTCCATCTCCCGCCCCTCCCCCATCCATTTCTCCCATTTTTTCCCATTTTTTCCCATTTTTTCCCATTTTTTCCCAATTTCTCCCCAAAATTTCCCCTCCCCTCCCCCTCTAAGCCCCTCCCTCTTTAAGCCCCTCCCCCATTAAGCCCCTCCCCCTTTAGCCCCTCCCCCTGCAGTTCTCACTCTCCTGCCCCTCCCCCATCCATCTCTCCCAATTTTTCCCATTTTTTCCCAATTTCTCCCCAAAATTCCCCCTCCCCTCCCCCTCTAAGCCCCTCCCCCTTTAGCCCCTCCCCCTCAGCCCCTCCCCCTTTAGCCCCTCCCCCTTTAGCCCCTCCCCCTTTTAGCCCCTCCCCCCTGCAGTTCTCCATCTCCTGCCCCTCCCCCATCCATTTCTCCCAATTTCTCCCATTTTTTCCCAATTTTTCCCAATTTTTTCCCAATTTTTCCCATTTTTTCCCAATTTCTCCCCAAAATTTCCCCTCCCCTCCCCCTTTAGCCCCTCCCCCTCAGCCCCTCCCCCATGCAGGTCTCCATCGCCTGCACCGATCCCGCCCTGCGCGGCCCCGGCCCGGGTGGGGGAGGGGCGGGGGGTGGGGGAGGGGCAGCGGGTGGGGGAGGGGCCGCGGGGGGGGGGAGGGGCGCCCCCCCATCGCGCTCGGGGGGTCGGAGCCCATCGGGGGGTGGGGGAGGGGCGGCGGTTCCGATCCGGGGGGGGCCCCTCCCCCCCGCCCCTCCCCCACCCCCCTCTGCCCCTCCCCCACCCGGAGCGACCCCCGGCATGAAGTACCGGTAAGGGGGAGGGGCTTTTGGGGGGGGGGTCCGGGGGGCGTTTTTGGGGTCCCGGGTCCATTTTGGGGGTCCCGGCTCCATTTTGGGGGGTTCTGAACCCATTTTGGGGGTCCCCGGGTTGATTTTGGGGGGTCCCGGCACGATTTTGGGGGGTCCTGGGCCCAATTTTGGGGTCCTTGGGTTGATTTTGGGGGGGTTCGAATCCTTTTTGGGGCTCCCCGGGTCCATTTTGGGGGATTTGGGTCCATTTGGGGGGTCCCGGCTCCATTTTGGGGGGTCCCGGCTCCATTTTGGGGGGTCCTGGGGTCTTTTTTGGGGGTCCCGGCACGATTTTGGGGGTCCTGGGCCCAATTTTGGGGGTCGCGGCTCCATTTTGGGGTCCCCGGCTCCATTTTGGGGGGTCCTGGGCCCAATTTTGGGGTCCTTGGGTTGATTTTGGGGGGGTTCGAATCCTTTTTGGGGGGTCTTGGGTCCATTTTGGGGTCCCTGGGTTGATTTTGAGGGTCCCTGGGCCCATTTTGGGGGTTCTGGGCCCATTTTTGGGGTCCCCGGGTCCATTTTGGGGTCCTGGGGTCATTTTTGGGGGGTCTCGGGTTGATTTTGGGGTCCCTGGGTCCATTTTGGGGGTCCCCGGGTTGATTTTGGGGCTCCCCAGCTCCATTTGGGGGGTCCTGAACCCATTTTGGGGTCCCCGGGTTGATTTTGGGGGTCCCCGGGTCACTTTTGGGGGGTCCTGAGGTCATTTTTGGGGGGTCCCGGGTCCATTTTGGGATCCCTGGGCCCATTTTGGGAGGTCCTGAACCCATTTTGGGGTGTCCCGGCTCCATTTTGGGGTCCCTGGGCCCATTTTGGGGTCCCCGGGTTGATTTGGGGGGGGTCGAATCCGTTTTGGGGGGTCCCGCCTCCATTTTGGGGTCCCCGGGTCCATTTTGGGGGTTCCCGGGTCCGTTTTGGGGTCCCTGGGCCCATTTTGGGGTGTCCTGGGCCGTTTTTGGGGTCCTGGGGTCATTTTTGGGGGGTCTCGAGTTGATTTTGGGGTCCCTGGGTCCATTTTGGGGGTCCCCGGGTCCATTTTGGGGAGTCTCGAGTTGATTTTGGGGCTCCCCGGGTCCATTTTGGGAGATTTGGGCCCATTTTTGGGGGTCCCGGCTCCATTTTGGGGGTCCCCGGGTCCATTTTGGGGGTCCCCGGCTGCATTTTGGGGGTCCCGGGGTCCATTTTGGGGGTCCCTGGGCTCATTTTGGGGGTCCCCGGGTCCATTTTGGGGGATTTGGGCCCATTTTGGGGGGTCCTGGGGGGATTTTGGGGGTCCCCGGGTCCATTTTGGGGTCCCCGGGTCCATTTTGGGGGTCCCCGAGTCCATTTTGGGGGATTTGGGCCCATTTTGGGGGGTCCTGGGGTCTTTTTTGGAGGTCCCCGGCTCCATTTTGGGGGTCTCCGGGTCCATTTTGGGGTCCCCGGGTCCATTTTGGGGGGTCCCGGCTCCATTTGGGGGGTCCTTGACTCATTTGGGGGGTCCCGGTTCCATTTTGGGGGGTCTCGGCTCCATTTTGGGGTTCCCGGGTTGATTTGGGGAGGTTCGAATCCTTTTTGGGGGGTCCCGGGTCCGTTTTGGGGTCCCTGGGCCCAATTTCGGGGGATTTGGGCCCATTTTGGGGGGTCCTGAACCCATTTTGGGGGGTCCTTGACTCATTTTGGGGGTCCCCGGGCCCATTTTGGGGTCCCCGGGTCCCTTTTGGGGGTCCCCGGGTTTATTTTGGGGGATTTGGGACCATTTCGGGGGGTCCCGGGTCCATTTTGGGGGGTCCCGGCTCCATTTTGGCGTCCCCGGGTCCATTTTGGGGTCCCTGGGCCCATTTTGGGGTGTCCTGGGACGTTTTTGGGGTCCTGCGGTCATTTTTGGGGGGTCTCGGGTTGATTTTAGGTGTCACTGGGTCCATTTTGGGGTCTCCGGGCCCATTTTTGGGGGGTCCTGGGCCCAATTTTGGGGTCCTGGGGTCATTTTTGGGGGTCCCGGGTCCATTTTGGGGTCCCCGGGTCCATTTTGGGGGTCCTGGCTCCATTTTGGGGGTCCCGGGTCCAAATTTTGGGGTCCTTTAATTTTATTCAGATTTATTTGGGTTTTTTTTTAATTTGGATTTTTTAAAAGAATTATTTTGATTTTTTTTTAATTTGCATTTTTTCTAATTTATTTGGATTTTATTTTTAATTTATTGGGGTTTTTTGTAATTTATTGGGATTTTTTTTAATTTATTGGGGTTCTTTAAAAATTTTTTTCAATTTATTTGGGTTTTTTTTAGTTTGGACATTATTTTTTATTTTTTGGGATTGTTTTAATTTATTGGGATTTTTTTAATTTATTGAGATTTAATATAATTTATTTCGATTTATTTGGGATTTTTTTAATTTGGATTTTTTTTTTTTAATGTATTAGGATTTTTTAAAATTTATTTGGATTTTTTGGGGTTTTTTTAAATTTATTTTGATTTTTTGAGGTTCTTTTGGGGATTTATTTGGATTTTTTGGGGGTTTTTTTTATTTATTTGTATTTTTTCAAACATTAATTCCGATTTTAAACATTTATTTGTATTTTTTTGGGGTTTTTTTTCCGTTTTGTGAAGGACTCTCGGCCGCTCGGGGCTGCGCGTGTCTGTCCTGGGGCTCGGTGAGAGACGGATGCGGGAATTCCGGAATTTCGGGAATTTCGGGGGGAAATTTGGGAATTTTGGGGGAAAAAATGGGAATTTGGGGGAAAAAACAGGAATTTGGGGGCATTTTGGGGGAAAATGGGAATTTGGGGGGAAAAATGGGAATTTGGGGGGAAAAAATAGGAATTTGGGGGGAATTTTGGGTGGAAATTTGGGGATTTTGGAGGAAAATTGGAAATTTGGGGGAAAATTTGGGGATTTTGGGGAAAAATTGGGAATTTGGGGGAATTTTGGGGGGGAAATTGGGAATTTTGGGTGGAAATTTGGCGACTTGTGGAATTTTGGGGGGAATTTGGGAATTTGGGGGGAATTTTGGGGGAAAATGGGACTTTTGGGTGGAAATTTGGTGAATTTGGGGGGAATTTTGGGGGGAAATTTGGGAATTTTGGGAAAAAATGGGAATTTTTGGGAAAAAATGGGAATTTGGGGGGAATTTGGGGGGAAATTTGGGAATTTTGGGGGCAAAAAATGGGAATTATGGGAAAAAATGGGAATTTGGGGGAATTTTGGGGGGAAATGGGAATTTTGGGGGGGAAAAAGGGAATTACGGGGAAAAATGGGAATTTTGGGGGATTTTGGGGGGAAATTCGGGAATTTTGGGGGGAAAAAATGGGAATTTGGGGGGAAAAAATGGGAATTTGTGGGGAATTTTGGGAAAGAAATGGGAATTTGGGGGGAAAAATGGGAATTTTGGGGGGAAAATTGGGAATTTGGGGGAATTTTGGGGGAAAATTTGGGAATTTGGGGGAAAAATTGAGAATTTGGGGGGAATTTGGGGGGAAAAATGGGAATTTTGGGGAAAAAAATGGGAATTATGGGCAAAAAATTGGAATTATGGGGGAAAATGGGAATTTGGGGGAATTTTGGGGGGAAAATGGGAATTTGGGGGGAAATTTGGGGATTTTGGGGGAAAATTGGGAATTTGGGGGAATTTTGGGGGGGAAATTGGGAATTTTGGGTGGAAATGTGGCAAGTTTTGTGGAATTTTGGTGGAATTTGGGAATTTGGGGGGAATTTTGGAGGGAAAATGGGAATTTGGGGGGAAAAATTGGGAATTTGGGGGAAAATTTGGGGATTTTGGGGAAAAATTGGAAATTTGGGGGAACTTTGGGGGGAAAATTGGGAATTTGGGGGGAATTTGGGGGGAAATTTGGGAATTTTGGGGAAAAATTGGGAATTTGGGGGGAAATTTGGGTATTTGGTGGAATTTTGGGTGGATTTGGGGGGGAAATTTGGGAATTTGGGGGGATTTTGGGGGAAATTTAGGAATTTGTGGGGAATTTTGGGGAAGTTTGAGGGAATTTGAAGGAATTTGGGGGAATTTTGGGAATTTGGGGGGAATTTGGGGGGAATTTTGGAGATTTTGGGGGAATTTTGGCTTCCCGGTGCAATTTTGGGCTGAATTTGGGATTTTTTGGGGTCTCTTCACCCCCAAATTCCCCCCCAGGTGCTCGTGGGATTTTCGGGGCCGGGACCTCGGAGGAGGTGAGACCCCCCCCAAATTTTGGGATCCCCCCAAATTTTGGGATTTCCCCCAAATTTTTTCATTTTTTCCCATTTTTTTTGGGCAATTCCCACTCATTTTTTGGGGTTTTTTTCCCCATTTTTTTGATTTTTTCCCCCTTTTTTTTTGGGTTTTCCCCCCATTTTTGGGGACCCAGTTTTTGGGGTGCCCCTCCCCAATTTTGGGGTCCCTCCCTGACTCCCCCTCCCCAAATTTTGGGGTTCCCAGGAGGCCGAGCGGGTGCTGAGCGCCGCCTACGATTGGGGGGTGACGCTGTTCGACACCTCGGGGGCCTCGGCCAGGTACCCCAAAAATCCTCCCTGAACCCCAAAAATCCTCCCCGAACCCCAAAATCGCCCCCAAAAAAATCCCGACCCCAAAAAACCCCAAAAAAATCCAACCTCGGCTTCAAAATCTGAAAAAAAATCAATTTTGACCCCAAAAAAAACCCAAAAAATTTAAATTTTGACCCTAAAATTCGTCCAAATTTCCCCTTCTGAAAGACCAAAAAATCCCAAATTTGCCCCCCCCAAAAAAATCCCGACCCCAAAAATCCCCAAAAAATCCAAACATGGCATCAAAATCTGAAAAAATTAAATTTTGACCCCAAAACCCCCAAAAATCCCAATCCTGACCCAAAAAGGCCCCAAATTTCCCCTCCCAAAAACCCCAAAATCTCCCCAAAAAAATCCCCCAAAACCCAAAAAAATTCCCCCCAATTCTCCCCCAAAATCCTCCCCCAAAATTCCCAAAATGTCCCCTAAAAAAACCCCAAAAAATTCCCCAAAACCAAAAAAAATTCCTCAAAATGCCCAAAATCCCCCAAAATTCCCCCCAAATCTCCCCCAAAAAAATCCCCAAAAATCCCCCTCAAAACAAAAAAAAATCCCCAAATTCCCCAAAATCCCCCAAAAATTCCCCCAAAATCTCCTCCCAAAAAAACCCCAAAAAATCCTCCCAAAACCAAAAAAAATCCCCTGAAATCCCCAAAAATCCACCCAAAGTTCCCCCAATTTCTCCCCAAATTCCCCAAAAATCCCCCAAAAAACAAAATATTCCCCAAAATCCCCCAAATTTCCCCAAATTCCCGCAGGGTGGAGAAGTCTCTCGGGCGGATCCTGAGGAGCAAAGGATGGAGGTGGGGGAGGGGAATTTTGGGGAAATTTGGGGGAAATTTGGGGTCCCTGGGGGAAATTTAGGGAAATTTGGGGGGAATTTGGGGAAAATTTGGGGTTCCCGAGGGGATTTTGGGGGAAATTTGGGGTCCCGAGGGGGAATTTGGGGAAATTTTGGGGAAATTTTGGGGGTCCTGAGTGGGACTTTGATAATTTTGGGGTCCCCAGGGGGATTTTGGGGAAATTTGGGAATATTTTGGGGAAAGTTTTGGGGTCCCTGGGGGGATTTTGGGGGAATTTTAGGAAAATTTGGGATCCCTGGGGGGATTTTGGGGGGAATTTTGGGGATTTTGGGGTCCTTGGGGGGATTTTGGTAAATCTGAGGTTCCCGAGTGGAATTTTGGGGAGATTTTGGGGGGGTTTTTGGGGGAAATTTTGGGGATTTTGGGGTCCCCGGGGGAATTTTGGTAAATTTTGGGGTCCTCGAGTGGAATTTTGGGGGGATTTTTGGGGTCCCTGGGGGGGATTTTTGGGGGGAATTTTGGGGATTTTGGGGTCCCCGGGGGATTTTAAAAATTTGGGGTCCCCGGGGGGATTTTTGGGGATTTTTGGGGATTTTTTTGGGAAATTTTGGGAAATTTTGGGGTCCCCCCCAGGCGCTCCAGTTACGTCATCACCGCGCGCGTCCACTGGGGGGCGCCGTGAGTACCCAGAATGCACCGCGGGGGGAATTTTGGGGGGAATTTTGGGATTTTTGGGGGGAATTTTGGGGATTTTGGGTGAATTTGGGATTTTTGGGGGGTTGAATTTGGGGTTTCGGGGGGAATTTTGGGGATTTTTTTGGTGTGAATTTGGGGAAAATTCGGGGGTTTTGGGGGATTTTGGGATGAATTTTGGAGGAAATTTTTGGGGGTTTTGGGGGGGCAAATTTGGGGATTTTTGGGGTGAATTTGGGAAAATTTTGGGGGAATTTTGTAATTTTGGGCGGGATTTTGGGGGGAATTTTTGGGGGTCTGGGGGTGAATTTTGGATAAATTTTGGGGGTTTGGAGGATTTGGGGATGAATTTTGGGGGGAATTTCGGGATTTTGGGGAGAAATTTTGAGGGTTTTGGGGTGAATTTTGGAAAATTTTGGGGTTTTTGGGGTAAATTTTGGGGTTTTGGGGATAATTTGGGATTTTGGGGTGAATATTGGGGGTTTTGGTGTGAATTTTGGGGTTTTGGGATGAATTTTGGGGTGAATTTTGGGGGTTTTGAGGTGAATTTTGGGGTGAATTTTGGGGTGAATTTTGGGGGTTTCGGAGTGAATTTTGGGGGTTTTGGGGGTGAATTTTTGGGGTAAATTTTGGGGTGAATTTTGGGTTTTTTGGGGCAAATTTTGCGGATTTTGGGGTGAATTTTGGGGTTTTTTGGGTAAATTTTGGGCTTTTTTTGCCCCCCAGACCCGACCGGGGCCTCTCCAGGAAGTTCCTGCTGGAAGGTGAGGAGGGGGCGTGGCTTGGGTGGGCGTGGCTAACACATGGCCACGCCCCCTGAGCCAATATGCAAATGTAGGGGTGGCTTGAACTTGACCACGCCCCCAAACCTCATTAAGCCACGCCCCCAGCAGCTCATTGTTGGTTTGGTGGGCGTGGCTTACCCTTGGCCACGCCCCCGTGGGTTATCGGCGCGGGGGGCGTGGCCTGACGCTGACCACGCCCCCTCAGGGCTCCGGGGGTCCCTGCGCCGCCTCCAACTCGATTACGTCGACGTCGTCTTCGCCGGGCCCCGCCCCGGCCCCGCCCCCTGCCACGGTGAGGCCACGCCCCTTCCGGTTTGGCCACGCCCCTTCCGTGTCGGCCACGCCCCTTTCCTTTAGGCCACGCCCCCATTAAAAATCTCAGTGGCCCAAAATGGCCCCAAAATGGCCCCAAATGTCCCAAATTTTCCCCCAAATCCCCCCAGGCCACGCCCACCCAAGCCCCGCCCTTCTCCAAGGCAGTGGCCACGCCCCTTTCAGGCCACGCCCCTTTCAGGCCACGCCCCCTTCATGTGTCCCTCCCATCCCCCCCATCCAGGAATGGACCCGACCCTGCGGCTGCTGCGGCTGGAAGGTACCAATGGCAACGGGGGGGCAAAATCACCCCAAAATCTGCACAAATCAGCCCAAAATCAGCCCAAAATCAGCCCAAAATCCACCCTAAAATCAGCCCAAAATCCGACCCAAATCAGACCAAAATCACCCCAAAATCACCCCCAAATCAGCCTAAAATCCACCCTAAAATCACCCCAAAATCCAACCCAAAATCAGCCCAAAATCCACTCAAAATCAGCCCAAAATCCATCCCAAAATCAACCCAAAATCAGCCCAAAATCAGCCCAAAATCAACCCAAAACCCACCCCAAAATCCAACTCAAAATCAGCCCCAAAATCCACCCAAAAATCATCCCCAAATCTCCCCAAAAATCAACCCAAAATCGCCCCCAAATCCCTCCAAAAATCGTCCCCGAATAACCCCAAAATCCACCCCAAAATCATCCCCAAGTCACCCAAAAATCAACCCCAAATCACCCCAAAATCCACCCAAAAATCAGCCCCAAACCACCCCAGAATCAGCCCAAAACCACCCCAAAATCCATCCAAAAATCACCCCAAAATTCACTCAAAATCCACCCCAAAATCCACCCTAAAATCATCCCCAAACCACCCGAAAATCATCCCAAAAATCACCATGAAATCCACCCCAAAGCATCCCAAAAATCAACCCAAAACCAGCCCAAAATCACCCCGAATCAACCCAAAATTGACCCGAAAGCACCTCAAACTGACCCAAATCACCCCAAAATCCACCCAAAATCACCCAAAAATCACCTGAAATCCGCCCAAATCTGACCTAAATCACCCCAAAACCAGCCCAAAATCCAACCCAAAATCAGCTCAAAATCCACCCCATATCGCCCCCAAAATCAACCCAAAATCACCCCAAAATCCACCCAGAAATCATCCCCAAATCTCCCCAAAAATCAACCGAAAATCGCCCCAAAATCCCTCCAAAAATCGTCCCCAAATAACCCCAAAATCCATCCCAAAATCATCCCCAAAATCCGCCCCAAATCGCCCCAAAAATCACCCCAAAATCCACCCAAAAATCATCCCCAAGTCACCCCAGAATCAGCCCAAAATCCACCCAAAAATCATCCCCAAATCACCCCAAAAACCACCCCAAAATCAGCCGAAAACCACCCCAAAATTACCCCAAAATCCACCCCAAAAATCAACCCAAAATCACCCCAAAATCCACCCAAAATTCACCCCCAAATCACCCCCAAAATCACCCCAAATCAACCCAAAATCACCCCAAAATTGACCCAAAAGCACCTCAAACTGACCCAAAAGCACTTCAAACTGACTTAAATCACCCCCAAATTGACCCGAAAGCACCCCCAAAATCTCCAAAATACACCCAAACCTGACCCAAAAATCAACCCAAAATCACCCCAAAATCAGCCCGAAATCCACCCTAAAATCACCCCAAAATCCAACCCAAAATCCAACCCAAAATCCACCCCCAAATCATCCCCAAATCACCCCAAAACACACCCCAAAAACCCACCCCAAAATCAGCCCAAAAATCACCCTGAAATGCACCCCAAAGCATCCCAAAAATCACCCAAAAATCAACCCCAAAATCAACCCCAAAATCCACCCCAAAATCACCCCGAAATCACCCTAAAATCCACCCTAAAGCATCCCCAAAATCACCCCAAAATCAGCCCAAAATCACCCCAAATCAACCCAAAATTGACCCGAAAGCACCTCAAACTGACCCAAATCATCCCAAAATTCACCCAAAATCTCCAAAATCCACCCAAATCCCCCCAAAATCCCCCCCAAATCCCCCATCCCCCCCAATATCTGACGTGGTCTCTCCCATCCCCCCCCCCACCCCCCCCCGCAGAGTTGGTTCGTGCCATGAGTGACGTCATCGATCAGGGCCTGGCGCTCTACTGGGGCACGGCCGGGACCGCCCCCAATGACGTCATGGTGGGCGGGGCCAGAGGGAAATGGGGATTATGATGTCATGGTGGGCGGGGCCTGGGAAATGCGGGTGATGTCATGGTGGGCGGGGCCAGAGGGAAATCAGGGTCATTACGTCATAGTAGGCGGGGCCAGGGAAATGGGGATTATGACGTCATGGTGGGCGGGGTTAGCGGGAACGGGGTGACATCATGGTGGGTGGGGCCATGGAAAGGAGTGATGACGTCATGGTAGGCGGGGCCAGAGGGAAATCGGGTGATGTCATGGTGGGCGGGGCCATGGAAAGCGGGTTATGATGTCATAGTGGGAGGGGCTAGCAGGAAATTGGGGTGATGATGTCATGGTGGGCGGGGCCAGCGGGAAACTGGGTGACATCATGGTGGGCGGGGCCAGAGGGAAATGGGGGTTATGATGTCATGGTGGGCGGGGCCATGGAAAGGGGGTGATGTCATGATGGGCGGGGCCAGGGGAAATCGGGTGATGTCATGGTGGGCGGGGCCAGAGAGAAATGGGAGTTATGACGTCATGGTGGGCGGGGCCAGAGGGAAATGGGGTTATGACGTCATGGTGGGCGGGGTTAGCGGGAATGGGGGTGATGTCATGGTGGGCGGGGCCAGAGGGAAATGGGAGTTATTATGTCATGGTGGGCGGGGCCAGGGGAAAGTGGGTGATGTCATGGTGGGCGGGGCCAGAGGGAAATGGGAGTTATTACATCATTGTGGGTGGGGCCGGTTGGAAATCGGGTGATGTCATGGTGGGCGGGGCCGGCGGGAAATGGGAGTTATGACGTCATGGTGGGTGGGGCCAAGGGAATAGGGTGATGTAATGGTGGGCGGGGCCAGAGGGAAATGGGGTTATGATGTCATGGTGGGCGGGGCCAGAGGGAAATGGGAGTTATGATGTCATGGTGGGTGGGGCCAGGGGAATGTGGGTGATGTCATGGTGGGCGGGGCCAGAGGGAAATTGGAGTTATGATGTCATGGTGGGTGGGGCCTGGGGAACAGGGTGATGTCATGGTGGGCGGGGCCAGAGGGAAATGGGGATTATGATGTCATGGTGGGTGGGGCCTGGGGAACAGGGTGATGTCATCATGGTGGGCGGGGCCAGGGAAATGTGGGTGATGTCATGGTGGGCGGGGACACAGGGAAATTTGGGGTGACGTCATGGTGGGCGGGGACTCTTGCGGGGACACTGATGATGTCATAGGGGGGAATTGGGGACATTTTGGGGAGATTTGAGGACTTTTTGAGACTTTTGGGGTCATGGGGTCACACAGGGGTTAGGGGTCACCCAGAGGTCACAGGGATAGACAGAGGTCACGGAGGGGTCACACAAAGATCAGGGGTCACGCAGAAGTCACAGGGGTCACCGGGGTCACAAAGGGGTCACACAAGGGTCATGGGGTCATACAAGGGTTAGGGGTCACCCAGAGGTCACAGGGACACACAGAGGTCACGGAGGGGTCACACAAAGATCAGGGGTCACCCAGGGGTCACAGAGACACACAGAGGTCACGGAGGGTCACACAGAGATCAGGGGTCACAGGGACGGACAGAGGTCACGGAGGGGTCACACCAAGACCAGGGGTCACCCAGGGGTCACAGGGGTCACGCAGAGGTCACGACCCCACAGGACACGTTCGCGGTGGCCCGGCAGCTGAACCTGGTGGCCCCGGTGTGCCAGTGGGCGGAGCTTCCGCCGGAGCCACGCCTCTTCCGCCAGCTCGGTAGGGGCGGGGCCAAAAGGGGCGGGGCCAAAATGGGTGTGGTCAAAAAATGGGCGTGGCCAAATGTCAAATAACGAATTAGGGAAAGAGGCGTGGCCAAAATGGGCGTGGTTTAAGTGGTAATAACTAATTAGGGAAAGGGGTGTGGCCAAAATGGGCGTGGTTTAAGGGGTAATAACTAATTAGGGAAATGGGCGTGGCCAAAATGGGCGTGGTTTAAGGGGGTAATAACTAATTAGGGAAATGGGCGTGGCCAAATGGGCGTGGTTTAAGGGGTAATAACTAATTAGGGAAAAGGGCGTGGCCAAAAATGGGCGTGGTTTAAGGGGGAATAACTAATTAGGGAAAGGGGCGTGGCCAAAAATGGGCGTGGTTTAAGGGGCAATAACTAATTAGGGAAAGGGGCGTGGCCAAAAATGGGCGTGGTTTAAGGGGCAATAACTAATTAGGGAAAGGGGCGTGGCCAAAAATGGGCGTGGTTTAAGGGGTATTAACTAATTAGGGAAGGGGCGTGGCCAAAAATGGGCGTGGTTTAAGGGGCAATAACTAATTAGGGAAAGGGGCGTGGCCAGAAATGGGCGTGGTGTAAGTGGTAATAACTAATTAGGGAAAGGGGCGTGGCCAAAAATGGGCGTGGTTTGGGGTAATAACTAATTAGGGAAATGGGCGTGGCCAAAAATGGGCGTGGTTTAAGGGGTATTAACTAATTAGGGAAAGGGGCGTGGCCAAAAATGGGCGTGGTTTAAGGGTAATAACTAATTAGGGAAAGGGGCGTGGCCAAAATGGGCGTGGTTTAAGGGGAATAACTAATTAGGGAATGGGAGTGGCCAAAATGGGCGTGGTTTAAGAGGCAATAACTAATTAGGGAATGGGAGTGGCCAAAATGGGCGTGGTTTAAGAGGCAATAACTAATTAGGGAAAGGGGCGTGGCCAAAATGGGCGTGGTTTAAGGGGTAATAGCTAATTAGGGAAATGGGCGTGGCCAAAATGGGCGCGGTTTAAGGGTAAAAACTAATTAGGGAAAGGGGCGTGGCCAAAAATGGGCGTGGTTTAAGGGTAAAAAACTAATTAGGGAAAGGGGCGTGGCCAAAATGGGCGTGGTTTAAGGGGTAATAACTAATTAGGGAAATGGGCGTGGCCAAAAATGGGCGTGGTTTAAGGGGTAATAACTAATAAGGGAAAGGGGCGTGGCCAAAATTGGGCGTGGTTTAAGGGGAAATAACTAATTAGGGAAAGGGGCGTGGCCAAAATTGGGCGTGGTTTAAGAGGAAATAACTAATTAGGGAAAGGGGCGTGGCCAAAATGGGCGTGGTTTAAGAGGTAATAACTAATTAGGGAAAGGGGCGTGGCCAAAATGGGCGTGGTTTACGGGTAATAACTAATTAGGGAAAGGGGCGTGGCCAAAATGGGCGTGGTTTACGGGTAATAACTAATTAGGGAAATGGGCGTGGCCAAAAATGGGCGTGGTTTGGGGTAATAACTAATTAGGGAAATGGGCGTGGCCAAAATGGGCGTGGTTTAAGGGGTAATAACCAATTAGGGAGTGGGGCGTGGCCAAAATGGGCGTGGTTTAAGGGGAATAACTAATTAGGGAAATGGGCGTGGCCAAAAATGGGCGTGGTTTAAGGAGAATAACTAATTAGGGAATGGGGCGTGGCCAAAAATGGGCGTGGTTTAATGGGCAATAACTAATTAGGGAAAGGGGCGTGGCCCAAAATGGGCGTGGTTTAAGGGGTAATAACTAATTGGGGAAAGGGGCGTGGCCAAAATGGGCGTGGTTTAAGGGGTAATAACTAATTAGGGAAAGGGGCGTGGCCAAAAATGGGCGTGGTTTAAGGGGTAATAACTAATTAGGGAAAGGGGCGTGGCCAAGATGGGCGTGGTTTAAGGGGCAATAACTAATTAGGGAAAGGGGCGTGGTCACAAAAAGGGCGGGTCTGGAGTGGGCGTGGTTAAGGAATGGGCGTGGCCACATAAAAGGGGTGGGGACAAATGGGGTGTGGTCAAAGTGGGCGTGGCCATCGAGGTGACCACGCCCCCCCCGATGTCCCCAGGTTTGGGTGCTGTCACCTGGGCCCCGACGGGGGAGGAGACCCCCGGGAACGCCACGGACGAGGTACCCCAGGGGCACCAGATGTCCCCAAAATGTCCCCAAAATGTCCCCAATGTCTCCAATGTCCCCAAATTTCCCCAATGTCCCCAATGTCCTCAATGTCCCAAAAGGTCCCAATTCCCAAATGTTCCCAATGTCCCCCAAATGTCCCCAAATATCCCCCAAATGTCCCCAACCTTCCAATTCGCAATTTTCCCAAATGTCCCCAATCCCCTCAATGTCCTCAAATGTCCCCAAATGTCCCCCAAATGTCCCCAAATGTCCCCAATGTCCCCAATCCCCCAATCCCCCACTGTCCCCAATGTCCCCAATGTCCCCCCAAATGTCCCCAATCTCCCCAATGTCCCCAATGTCCCCAATGTCCCCAATGTCCCCAATGTCCCCAATGTCCCCAATGTCCCCTCACTGTCCCCAGGCCCTGCAGCCGCTGGCCCGGCAGTTGGGATGCTCCGAGATACAGCTGGGCATCGGTGAGGGACACCGGGACACCCAGGGGACACCCGGGGGACAGCGGGGACATCACTGTGGGACATCAGTGGGGACGTCGGTGGGGACATGGGGACATTGGGTACATCACTGGGGACATCACTGGGGACACGCAGACAGCCACAGGGACATCATTGGGTCATTACTGGGGACATTGTGGACGTGAGGACATCAGTGGGGACATTGGGGACATTGGGGACATCAGTGGGGACATTGGGGACAGGCATGGGGACATCATTGGGGGATTGGGGACGTCAGTGGGGACAGTGGGGACATTGGGGACATTGGGGACATTGGGGACATCATTGGGGACATCAGGAACAGGCATGGGGACATTGGGGACATCATTGGAGTCACCAGTGGGGACACTGGGGCCATCACTGGGGACAGTGGGGACAGACATGGGGACATTGGGGACATCATTGAGGGACATCAGTGGGTCATTATTGGGGACATCATTGGGGACATCAGTGGGGACATCATTGGGGACATTGGGGACAGCCATGGGGACACTGGGGACATCATTGGGTCATTAGTGGGGACATCCGTGGGGACATCACTGGGGACAGCGGGGATGTCACTGGGGGATTGGGAACATCATTGGGGACATTGGGGACAGGCATGGGAACATTGCTGGGGACGTCATTGGGGACATCATTGGGTCATTACTGGGGACGTTGTGGACGTGGGGACATCGTTGGGGACAGCCATGGGGACACTGGGGACATCACTGGGTCATTATCGGGGACATTGGGGACATGGGGACATCATTGGGGACAGCAGGGACGTCACTGGGGGGTTGGGGACGTCACTGGGGACATTAGTGGGGACATTGGGGACAGCCATGGGGACATTGGGGACATCATTGGGTCATTATCGGGGACATTGTGGATGTGGGGACATCAGTGGGGACATGGGGACAGCCATGGGGACATTGGGGTCATCGTTGGGGACATCACTGGGGACATTGGGGACAGTGGGGGGCTGGGGGGGTGTGACACCGGAGGGTGGGTGACACCGAGGTGACACTGAGGTGACATTGGGGTGACACTGGGTGGGTGGGTGACACTGTGGTGACACAGAGGTGGCACTGTCACTGTCCCTGTCCCTGTCCCCAGCCCGGTCCCTGCGGCTGGAGGGCGCTGGGGGTGACACTGGGGTGACACTGTGGTGACACTGATGGGGTGGGTGACACCAGGGTGACACAGGGGTGGCACTGTCCCTGTCCCCAGCCCGGTCCCTGCGGCTCGAGGGCACTGGGGGTGACACAGGGGTGACACAGGGGTGACACTGACGGGGTGGGTGACACCAAGGTGACACTGAGGTGACACAGGGTGGGTGGGTGACACCAAGGTGACACAGAGGTGGCACTGTCCCTGTCCCTGTCCCCAGCCCGGTCCCTGCAGCTGGAGGGCACTGGGGTGACACTGGGGTGACACTGACAGGGTGGGTGACACCGAGGTGACACTGTGGTGGCACTGTCCCTGTCATTGTCCCCAGCCCGGTCCCTGCAGCTGGAGGGCGCTGGGGGTGACACTGAGGTGACACAGGGGTGGCACTGATGGGGTGGGTGACACTGAGGTGACACTGTGGTGGCACTGTCCCTGTCATTGTCCCCAGCCCGGTCCCTGCGGCTGGAGGGCGCCGGGGGTGACACTGAGGTGACACAGGGGTGACACTGAGGTGACACAGGGTGGGTGGGTGACACCGGGGTGACACAGGGGTGACACAGGGGTGACACAGGGGTGACACTGAGGTGACACAGGGTGGGTGGGTGACACCGAGGTGGCACCAAGGTGACACAGGGGTGGCACTGTCCCTGTCCCCAGCCCGGTCCCTGCGGCTGGAGGGCGCTGGGGGTGGCACCGAGGTGACACTGAGGTGACACTGGGGTGACACTGATGGGGTGGGTGACACTGGGGTGACACAGGGGTGGCACTGAGGGGGTGGGTGACACTGAGGTGACACAGGGGTGACACTGTCCCTGTCCCCAGCCCGGTCCCTGCGGCTGGAGGGCTCTGGGGTGACACAGGGGTGGCACTGATGGGGTGGGTGACACAGGGGTGACACAGAGGTGACACTGGGGTGGCAGTGACGGGGTGGGTGACACTGAGGTGGCCCTGTCCCTGTCCCCAGCCCGGTCCCTGCGGCTGGAGGGCACTGGGGGTGACACTGTGGTGACACAGAGGTGGCACTGACAGGGTGGGTGACACTGAGGTGACACAGGGGTGGCACTGAGGGGGTGTATGACACCGAGGTGACACTGAGGTGGCATTGTCCCTGTCCCCAGCCCGGTCCCTGCGGCTGGAGGGCACTGGGGGTGACACAGGGGTGACACTGAGGTGACACTGGGTGGGTGGGTGACACTGAGGTGACACAGGGGTGGCACTGTCCCTGTCCCCAGCCCAGTCCCTGTGTCTGAGGGCTCTGGGGTGACACAGGGGTGACACTGAGGTGACACCGAGGTGACACTGAGGTGGCACTGTCATTGTCCCCAGCCTGGTCCCTGCGGCTGGGGGGTGCTGGGGGTGACACTGGGGTGACACTGATGGGGTGGGTGACACTGGGGTGACACAGGGGTGACACTGACGGGGTGGGTGACACCAAGGTGACACTGAGGTGACACTGAGGTGACACAGGGTGGGTGGGTGACACTGGGGTGACACAGGGTGGTTGGTGACACAGAGGTGACACCAAGGTGACACCGAGGTGGCACTGTCCCTGTCCCCAGCCCGGTCCCTGTGGCTGGAGGGCACTGGGGGTGACACTGGGGTGACACAGGGGTGACACTGGGTGGGTGGGTGACACAGGGGTGGCACTGACAGGGTGGGTGACACTGAGGTGACACTGTGGTGGCACTGGGGTGACACTGATGGGGTGGGTGACACAGAGGTGACACTGGGGTGACACAGGGGTGGCACTGACAGGGTGGGTGACACAGAGGTGACACTGGGTGGGTGGGTGACACAGAGATGACACAGAGGTGACACTGAGGTGACACTGAGGTGGCACTGTCATTGTCCCCAGCCCGGTCCCTGCGGCTGGAGGGCACTGGGGGTGACACTGGGGTGACACTGGGGTGGCACTGAGGGGGTGGGTGACACAGGGTGGGTGGGTGACACCGAGGTGACACCGAGGTGACACCGAGGTGACACAGGGGTGGCACTGTCCCTGTCCCCAGCCCGGTCCCTGCGGCTGGAGGGCACTGGGGGTGGCACAGGGGTGACACTGATGGGGTGGGTGGCACTGATGGGGTGGGTGACACTGGGGGTGACACAGGGGTGGCACTGACAGGGTGGGTGACACTGGGGTGACACAGGGGTGGCACTGAGGTGACATTGTCATTGTCTCCAGCCCGGTGCCTGCGGCTGGAGGGCACTGGGGTGACACTGGGGTGACACTGGGGTGACACAGAGGTGACAGGGTGGGTGGGTGGCACTGAGGTGACACTGAGGTGGCACAGGGGTGACACTGAGGTGGCACTGTCCCTGTCCCCAGCCTGGTCCCTGCGGCTCGAGGGTGCTGGGGTGGCACTGAGGTGACACTGACGGGGTGGGTGACACAGAGGTGACACCGAGGTGACACTGTCATTGTCCCCAGCCCGGTCCCTGCGGCTGGAGAGCACTGGGGGTGACACTGGGGTGGCACTGACGGGGTGGGTGACACTGAGGTGACACTGGGGTGACACCAAGGTGACACTGATGGGGTGGGTGACACAGAGGTGACACAGAGGTGACACAGGGATGACACAGGGGTGACACAGGGGTGACACAGGGGTGGCACTGGGTGGGTGGGTGACACCAAGGTGACACAGGGGTGTCACTGTCCCTGTCCCCAGCCCGGTCCCTGCGGCTGGAGAGCGCTGGGGGTGACACTGGGGTGACACAGGGTGGGTGGGTGACACAGAGGTGACACAGGGGTGGCACTGGGTGGGTGGGTGACACCGAGGTGACACAGGGGTGGCACTGTCACTGTCCCTGTCCCTGTCCCCAGCCCGGTCCCTGCGGTTGGAGGGCTCTGGGGTGGCACAGGGGTGGCACTGACGGGGTGGGTGACACCGAGGTGACACTGGGGTGGCACTGACGGGGTGGGTGACACCGGGGTGACACCGAGGTGGCACTGTCCCTGTCCCTGTCCCCAGCCCGGTCCCTGCGGCTCGAGGGCGTCAGCTCCGTCCTGTTGGGGGCCGAGACCCCGCGGGGGCTGCGGGAACAGCTCCGGGCCCTGCAGGTGGGACACCGGGGACACCTGGGGACACCTGGGGACACTTTGGGGACACTTTGGGGGTCCTGGGGACACCCTGGGGACATTTGGGGACACTTTGGGGACATTTGGGACACTTGGGGACACTTTGGGACACCTTGGGGACACATTGGGTGGTCCTGGAGACACCTTGGGGACATTTGGGGGACATTTGGGGACACTTCGGGGGACATTTGGGACACTTGGGGACACCTTGGAGGGTCCTGGGACACACCTGGGGACACCTGGGGACATTGGGGACACTTTGGGGACATCTGGGGACAGCTCAGGGTTACCTGGGGACACCTGTGGAACACCTGGGGACACCTGGGGACACTTTGGGGACACCTGGGGAACACCTGGGGACACCTTGGGGACACTTTGGGGACATTTGGGACACCTTGGGGACACTCTGGGGACACTTTGGGGACACCTGGGGACACTTTGGGGATAATTTTGGGGGTCCTGGGGACACCTGGGGACACTTTGGGGACACCTGGGGACACCTTGGGGACATTTGGGGATACCTTGGGGACACTTTGGGTACATTTGGGACACTTTAAAGACACCTGGGGACACCTTGGGGACATTTGGGACACTTTGGGAACACTTTGGGGACACTTTGGGGACACCTGGGGACAGCTGGGGACACCTTGGGGACATTTGGGACACTTTGGGGATAATTTTGGGGGTCCTGGGGACACACCTGGGGACACTTTGGGGACACCTGGGGACACCTTGGGGACATTTGGGGACATTTGGGGACACTTTGGGGACACCTGGGGACACTTTGGGGGTCCTGGGGACACGTTGGGGACATTTGGGACACTTTGGGGACACTTTGGGGACATTTGGGGACACTTGGGAGGAATCTGGGGGGATTTGGGGGAAACTGGAGGGAAATTTTGGGTCAATTTCCACCGATTTTTGGGGTTTTTTTCACCGATTTTTGGGAAATTTCTGCGAATTTTGGGGTTTTTGCTCCAATTTTGGGGAAATTTTTGCAGATTTTTGGTTTTTTTTCCAATTTTGGGTCAATTTCCACCGATTTGGGGTTTCTTTGCTCAGACTTTGGGTAAATTTTTGCAGATTTTTTGGTTTTTTGCTCAGATTTTTTTTGGAACATTTTCACACATTTTGGGTTTTTTTTTCTCAGATTTTGGGTAAATTTTCACAGATTTTGGATTTCTTTGCTCATATTTTGGGGAAATTTTTGCAGATTTTCGGGTTTTTTTCTCCAATTTTGGGGAAATTTTTGCAATTTTCGTGTTTTTTCTCCAATTTTGGGGAAATATTTGCAGATTTTGGGTTTTTCCTCAGATTTTGAGAACATTTCCGCAGATTTTGGGGTTTTTTTGCTCAGATTTTGGGTAAATTTTCACAGATTTTGGGTAACTTTTTTCGAATATTTGGGTTGTTTTGCTCATATTTTAGGTAAATTTCTTCAGATTTGGGGTTTTTTTCCTCATATTTTGGATAAATTTCCACAGATTTTGAATTTATTTTGCTCAGATTTTGGGTAAATTTCTGCGGATTTTGCAGATTTTTTCTCATATTTTGGGTAAATTTCTGCAGATTTTGGGTTTTTTGCTCATCTTTTGGGTAAATTTCTGCAGATTTTGAGTTTATGTTGCACAGATTTTGGGTAAATTTTTGCGTATTTTGGGTAATTTTTTGCACATTTTGGGTAATTTTTTGCAGATTTTGGGCAAATTTCCGCCGATTCCGGGTAAATCCCCGCGGGTTCCGCGTTCCCCGCGCCGATTTGGGGTGAAATTCCGGAATTTTTCCCGTTTTTTCCCGATTTTTCCGGATTTTTCCCATTTTTTCCCGTTTTTCCGCAGCTCCTGCCCCGCCTGGGCCCGGGGGGCGTGGCCAGCCCGCCCTGACCCCGCCCCCTCCGCCGCCTCCCATTGGCTGCTCCCGCATGGCCCCGCCCACCCGCGCCTCAGCCCCGCCCCCTGTGGGCGGAGCCTCTGACAGCAATAACCCCGCCCCCAAAAGGGGCGGGGCCAATCAAAGCACAAACCCCGCCCCCCTCGTGACTGACCAATCGCAGCGCTTCCAGCGGGGGCGGGGCCGGGCAGGCCACGCCCCCTTTGGCCCCGCCCCCTCCGTGTGGGGGAGGGGAATAAAAACGGCTTTGGCCAATGGGGGAGGGGCGGCCTCGTTTTTGGGGTGACCGGTTCAAACCGGTTCAAACCAGTGAGATCCCAGTTCAAACCAGTTCAAACCAGTTCAAACCAGTGAGATCCCAGTTCAAACCAGTTCAAACCAGTTCAAACCAGTTCAAACCAATTCAAACCAGTTCAAACCAGTGCTCCCAGTTCAAACCCGTTCAAACCAGTTCAAACCAGTTCGAACCAGTGAGATCCCAGTTCAAACCAGTTCAAACCAGTGCTCCCAGTTCAAACCAGTTCAAACCAGTTCAAACCAGTGAGCACTGGGAGCCCAAACTGGGAGCGCTGGGAGGGGTCACTGGGAGTTACTGGGAGCACTGGGAGGGGTCACTGGGCGTTACTGGGAGCACTGGGAGGGGTCACTGGGAGCACTGGGAGCACTGGGAGGGGTCACTGGGAGCACTGGGAGCACTGGGAGGGGTCACTGGGAGTTACTGGGAGTTACTGGGAGCACTGGGAGGGGTCACTGGGAGTTACTGGGAGCACTGGGAGGGGTCACTGGGCGTTACTGGGAGCACTGGGAGGGGTCACTGGGCGTTACTGGGAGCACTGGGAGGGGTCACTGGGAGCACTGGGAGTTACTGGGAGGGGTCACTGGGAGCACTGGGAGCACTGGGAGGGGTCACTGGGGGTTACTGGGAGCACTGGGCGTTACTGGGAGCACTGGGAGCCCAAACTGGGAGCCCAAACTGGGAGCACTGGGAGCACTGGGAGGGGTCACTGGGCATTACTGGGAGCACTGGGAGTTACTGGGAGCTGTTACTGGGAGCACTGGGAGGGGTCACTGGGAGCACTGGGAGCACTGGGAGGTGGGGGAGGGGCGGCCCCGCTGTCCCCTCCCCCCCCCCCGTGTCTGGCCCCTCCCCCAATGACGTCACTCATCAATCGCTCGGCAGTCGTTAATTAATCAATCGTTAATGAAGGGCACTTTATTCATCAGCCAGGCCCCGCCCCCTCCCCGGGGGCACTCAGGGGTCACTCAGGGGTCACTCAGAGGTCACTCAGGGGTCACTCAGGGGTCACTCAGGGGTCACTCAGGGGTCAGCTGAGCACACAGGGGTCACTCAGGGGTCACTCAGGGGTCACTCAGGGGTCAGTTGGTCACTCACTTGGTCACTCACTTGGTGACTTGGTCATTCAGGGGTCAGTTGGTCACTCAGGGGTCAGTTGGTCACTCAGGGGTCAGTTGGTCACTCAGGGGTCACTCAGGGGTCACTCAGGGGTCAGTTGGTCACGGGGGGGTCAGTCGGTCACTCATTGGTCACTTGGTCAGTTGGTCACTCCTTGGTCACTCATTGGTCACTGGGCAGTCACTGGGTGATCACTCAGCGGTCACTTGTTGGTCACTCAGCAGTCACTCGTCGGTCACTTGTTGGTCACTCAGTGGTCACTGGGCGGTCAGTTGGTCACTCATCGGTCCCTCGTCGGTCACTCATTGGTCACTCAGTGGTCAGTGTCACAGAGGGGATATCCAGGGGGTGGTCAGTTGGTCACTCAGTGGTCAGTGACTGGTCAGTGTCACAGAGGGGATATCCAGGGGGTATTCAGGGGTGGTCAGTTGGTCACTTGGCGGTCACTTGATGGTCACTGGGTGGTCACTTGGCGGTCACTCAGTGGTCAGTGTCACAGAGGGGGTATCCAGGGGCAGTCAGTTGGTCACTGGGCAGTCACTCAGTGGTCAGTTGGTCACTCGTTGGTCACTCGTCGGTCACTCAGTGGTCACTGGGCGGTCACTCAGCGGTCACTCAGTGGTCAGTGACTGGTCAGTGTCACAGAGGGGATATCCAGGGGGTGGTCAGTTGGTCACTGGGCAGTCAGTCGGTCACTCGTTGGTCACTCAGCGGTCACTTTTTGGTCACTCAGTGGTCACTGGGCGGTCAGTTGGTCACTGGGCGGTCACTCAGCGGTCACTGGGCGGTCAGTTGGTGGTCACTCAGTGGTCACTCAGTGGTCAGTGTCACAGAGGGGATATCCAGGGGGTATCCAGTGGGTGGTCAGTTGGTCACTCAGCGGTCACTGGCTGGTCACTGGGTGGTCACTCAGTGGTCAGTGACTGGTCAGTGTCACAGAGGGGATATCCAGGGGGTGGTCAGTTGGTCACTGGGTGGTCACTCAGCGGTCACTTGATGGTCACTGGGTGGTCACTGGGCAGTCACTGGGTGGTCACTCAGCGGTCACTTGTCGGTCACTCATTGGTCACTCATTGGTCACTTGTCGGTCACTCAGTGGTCACTGGGTGGTCACTTGTCGATTACTCGTCGGTCAGTTGGTCACTCGGTGGTCACTCAGTGGTCACTGGGCGGTCAGTTGGTCACTCGGTGGTCAGTTGGTCACTCATTGGTCACTCAGCGGTCACTTGTTGGTCACTCAGCGGTCACTTGTTGGTCACTCGGCAGTCAGTTGGTCACTCATTGGTCACTGGGCAGTCACTGAGCGGTCACTGGGCGGTCACTCAGTGGTCACTCAGTGGTCACTCAGTGGTCAGTGTCACAGAGAGGATATCCAGGGGGTGGTCAGTTGGTCACTGGGTAGTCACTGGGCGGTCCCTGGCCGGTCACTCAGTGGTCACTCAGCGGTCAGTGTCACAGAGAGGATATCCAGGGGCGGTCAGTTGGTCACTGGGTGGTCAGTTGGTCACTCGTCGGTCACTTGGCACTCAGTGTCACAGGGGGGATATCCAGGGGGTATCCAGGGGATGGTCACTCAGTCGGTCACTGGGCAGTCAGTTGGTCACTCGGTGGTCAGTCGGTCACTCATCGGTCACTCATCGGTCACTTCTCCCCGTCGGGCCAGCGCAGGCACCACTCCATGGCGTTGTGGAACATCCTGAGCCAGGGCCCGCTGCCGGCCTGGCCGCGGTCAGCACCGACACCGGCACCGGCACCGACACCGACACCGACACCGACCCCGGCACCGACCCCGGCACCGCGGCCGGCCCAGGGGCTCTGCCAGCGGCGCACGGCGCGCTCGGGGTGCGGCATGGCCGCCAGGTGCCGGCCGCAGGGCGACACCAGCGCCGCCACGCCGCGGCCGGAGCCGTTGGGGTTCAGCGGGTAGCGCTCCGTCGGCTCCCCGCGGTCATCCACGTAGCGCAGAGCGGCCAGGCCGGAGCGGACACAGCGGTCCAGAGCCGAGGGCGGCCGGAACTGGAAACGGCCTGGGGAAACCAGTTAGAGACTGGTTAGAGACCAGTTAAACCAGTTAGAGACTGGTTAGAGACCAGTCAGGGTCACTGGTCAGGGCTGGAGCCGCCAGGCCGGAGCGGATACAGCGATCCAGCGCCGAGGGCGGCCGGAACTGGAAACGGCCTGCGGAGACCAGTTACACCAGTTAGGGACCAGTTAGGGACCAGTTAGAGACCAGTCAGGGTCACTGGTCAGGGATGGAGCCGCCAGGCCGGAGCGGATACAGCGATCCAGAGCCGAGGGCGGCCGGAACTGGAAACGGCCTGCGGAGACCAGTTACACCAGTTAGGGACCAGTTAAACCAGTTAGAGATCGGTTAAACCACTTAGAGACCCATTAAACCACTTACAGACCAGTTAAACCACTTAGAAACCAGTTAAACCACTTAGAGACCGGTTAAACCACTTAGAAACCAGTTAAACCAGTTAGAGACCAGTTAAAACAGTTAGAGACCCATTAAACCACTTAGAAAGCACTTAAACCAGTTGGAGACCGGTTAGAGACTGGTTAGAGACTGGTTAGAGAGCGGTTAAACCACTTAGAAACCTGTTAAACCAGTTAGAGACCAGTTAAACCACTTAGAGACCGGTTAAACCAGTTAGAGACCAGTTAAACCACTTAGAAACCAGTTAGAGACCAGTTAAACCAGTTAGAGACTGGATAGAGACCGGTTAAACCAATTAGGGACCAGTTAAACCACTTAGAAACCAGTTAAACCAGTTAGAGACTGGTTAAACCACTTAGAAACCAGTTAAAACAGTAAGACTGGTTAGAGACCAGCTAAACCAGTTAGGGACCAGTTAAACCAGTTATAAACCAGTTAGACCAGTTAAACCAGTTAGAGACCAGTTAGACCAGTTAAACCAGTTAGAGACCAGTTAGAGACTGGATAAACCAGCTAGAGACCAGTTAGAAACAAGTTAAACCAGTTAGAAACCAGTTAAACCACTTAGAGACCGGTTAAACCAGTTAGAGACCGGTTAAACCACTTAGAGACCGGTTAAGCCACTTAGAAAGCAGTTAAACCAGTTAGAGACCAGTTAGAGACCGGTTAGAGACCAGTTAGAGACTGGTTAGACCAGTTAGAGACAAGTTAAACCTATTAGAGACCAGTTAGAGACTGGTTAAACCAGTTAAACCAGTTAGAGACCGGTGAAACCAGTTAGAAACCAGTAAAACCAGTTAGAGACCAGTTAGAGACCGGTTAAACCAGTTACAGACCGTTAAAACTACTTAGAAACCAGTTAAACCACTTAGAAACCAGTTAAACCAGTTAGAGACCAGTTAAACCAGTTAAACCAGTTAGAGTACAGTTAGACACCAGTTGGAGACCAGTCAGACCAGTTAAACCAGTTAGAGACCAGTTGGAGACCTGTTAAACCAGTTAAAGCAGTTAGAGACCAGTTAGGGGCCAGTTAAACCAGTTAGACCAGTTAGAGACCAGTTCCAGCCCAGTTAAACCAGTTAAACCAGTTAGAAACCAGTGACACCAGTGAGAGCCCAGAGCTCCCAGTACAAACCAGTCTAACCAGTCTAACCAGTATAACCAGTTACCTTCCCCGTGCGCCACCCACACCCCCAGCCGCGCTCCCGCCATCCCCAGTACAAACCAGTATAAACCAGTCTAACCAGTTACCTTCCCCGTGCGCCACCCACACCCCCAGCCGCGCTCCCGCCATCCCAGTACAAACCAGTCTGACCAGTATAACCAGTATAACCAGTTACCTTCCCCGTGCGCCACCCACACCCCCAGCCGCGCTCCCGCCCTGCCCAGTACAAACCAGTATAAACCAGTCTAACCAGTTACCTTCCCCGTGCGCCACCCACACCCCCAGCCGCGCTCCCGCCATCCCCAGTACAAACCAGTATAAACCAGTATAACCAGTTACCTTCCCCGTGCGCCACCCACACCCCCAGCCGCGCTCCCGCCATCCCCAGTACAAACCAGTATAAACCAGTATAACCAGTTACCTTCCCCGTGCGCCACCCACACCCCCAGCCGCGCTCCCGCCATCCCAGTACAAACCAGTATAAACCAGTATAACCAGTATAACCAGTTACCTTCCCCGTGCGCCACCCACACCCCCAGCCGCGCTCCCGCCCTGCCCAGTACAAACCAGTCTAACCAGTATAACCAGTATAACCAGTTACCTTCCCCGTGCGCCACCCACACCCCCAGCCGCGCTCCCGCCATCCCCAGTACAAACCAGTATAAACCAGTATAACCAGTTACCTTCCCCGTGCGCCACCCACACCCCCAGCCGCGCCCCCGCCATCCCAGTACAAACCAGTATAAACCAGTATAACCAGTATAACCAGTTACCTTCCCCGTGCGCCACCCACACCCCCAGCCGCGCTCCCGCCCTGCCCAGTACAAACCAGTCTGACCAGTCTAACCAGTATAACCAGTTACCTTCCCCGTGCGCCACCCACACCCCCAGCCGCGCTCCCGCCATCCCCAGTACAAACCAGTATAAACCAGTATAACCAGTTACCTTCCCCGTGCGCCACCCACACCCCCAGCCGCGCTCCCGCCATCCCCAGTACAAACCAGTATAAACCAGTATAACCAGTATAACCAGTTACCTTCCCCGTGCGCCACCCACACCCCCAGCCGCGCTCCCGCCATCCCAGTACAAACCAGTATAAACCAGTATAACCAGTATAACCAGTTACCTTCCCCGTGCGCCACCCACACCCCCAGCCGCGCTCCCGCCATCCCAGTACAAACCAGTATAAACCAGTATAACCAGTATAACCAGTTACCTTCCCCGTGCGCCACCCACACCCCCAGCCGCGCTCCCGCCCTGCCCAGTACAAACCAGTATAAACCAGTATAACCAGTTACCTTCCCCGTGCGCCACCCACACCCCCAGCCGCGCTCCCGCCATCCCCAGTACAAACCAGTATAAACCAGTCTAACCAGTATAACCAGTTACCTTCCCCGTGCGCCACCCACACCCCCAGCCGCGCTCCCGCCATCCCCAGTACAAACCAGTCTGACCAGTCTAACCAGTATAACCAGTTACCTTCCCCGTGCGCCACCCACACCCCCAGCCGCGCTCCCGCCATCCCCAGTACAAACCAGTATAACCAGTCTAACCAGTATAACCAGTTACCTTCCCCGTGCGCCACCCACACCCCCAGCCGCGCTCCCGCCATCCCCAGTACAAACCAGTATAAACCAGTCTAACCAGTATAACCAGTTACCTTCCCCATGCGCCACCCACACCCCCAGCCGCGCTCCCGCCATCCCCAGTACAAACCAGTATAAACCAGTATAAACCAGTATAACCAGTTACCTTCCCCGTGCGCCACCCACACCCCCAGCCGCGCTCCCGCCCTGCCCAGTACAAACCAGTATAAACCAGTATAACCAGTTTACCTTCCCCGTGCGCCACCCACACCCCCAGCCGCGCTCCCGCCATCCCAGTACAAACCAGTATAAACCAGTATAACCAGTTACCTTCCCCGTGCGCCACCCACACCCCCAGCCGCGCTCCCGCCATCCCCAGTACAAACCAGTATAAACCAGTATAACCAGTATAACCAGTTACCTTCCCCGTGCGCCACCCACACCCCCAGCCGCGCTCCCGCCATCCCCAGTACAAACCAGTCTAACCAGTATAACCAGTTACCTTCCCCGTGCGCCACCCACACCCCCAGCCGCGCTCCCGCCATCCCAGTACAAACCAGTATAAACCAGTATAACCAGTATAACCAGTTACCTTCCCCGTGCGCCACCCACACCCCCAGCCGCGCTCCCGCCCTGCCCAGTACAAACCAGTATAAACCAGTATAACCAGTTACCTTCCCCGTGCGCCACCCACACCCCCAGCCGCGCTCCCGCCCTGCCCAGTACAAACCAGTATAAACCAGTCTAACCAGTATAACCAGTTACCTTCCCCGTGCGCCACCCACACCCCCAGTCGCGCTCCCGCCATCCCCAGTACAAACCAGTCTAACCAGTCTAACCAGTATAACCAGTTACCTTCCCCGTGCGCCACCCACACCCCCAGCCGCGCTCCCGCCATCCCCAGTACAAACCAGTATAAACCAGTCTAACCAGTATAACCAGTTACCTTCCCCGTGCGCCACCCACACCCCCAGCCGCGCTCCCGCCATCCCCAGTACAAACCAGTATAACCAGTATAACCAGTTACCTTCCCCGTGCGCCACCCACACCCCCAGCCGCGCTCCCGCCATCCCCAGTACAAACCAGTATAAACCAGTATAACCAGTTACCTTCCCCGTGCGCCACCCACACCCCCAGCCGCGCTCCCGCCCTGCCCAGTACAAACCAGTATAAACCAGTCTAACCAGTATAACCAGTTACCTTCCCCGTGCGCCACCCACACCCCCAGCCGCGCTCCCGCCATCCCCAGTACAAACCAGTATAAACCAGTATAACCAGTATAACCAGTTACCTTCCCCGTGCGCCACCCACACCCCCAGCCGCGCTCCCGCCATCCCCAGTACAAACCAGTATAAACCAGTCTAACCAGTATAACCAGTTACCTTCCCCGTGCGCCACCCACACCCCCAGCCGCGCTCCCGCCATCCCCAGTACAAACCAGTATAAACCAGTATAACCAGTTACCTTCCCCGTGCGCCACCCACACCCCCAGCCGCGCTCCCGCCCTGCCCAGTACAAACCAGTATAAACCAGTCTAAACCAGTATAACCAGTTACCTTCCCCGTGCGCCACCCACACCCCCAGCCGCGCTCCCGCCATCCCCAGTACAAACCAGTATAAACCAGTCTAACCAGTATAACCAGTTACCTTCCCCGTGCGCCACCCACACCCCCAGCCGCGCTCCCGCCATCCCCAGTACAAACCAGTATAAACCAGTATAACCAGTTACCTTCCCCGTGCGCCACCCACACCCCCAGCCGCGCTCCCGCCCTGCCAGTACAAACCAGTATAAACCAGTATAACCAGTATAACCAGTTACCTTCCCCGTGCGCCACC